AAGCTTGAGTGATCGACCAACGTCATTATTGAAATACAAGAACTTAAATGGGCCCGACAATAAAGGCCAAACCGCTGAACCCAAAGTTGTGAGGTCCTTTGTCCGCGATTTGCAGGCTTGTTTCAGCCCAAATATCCTCTTCTTCCATGGTGATGAACATTGTGATGTGCTTGCAGGGCTCTGGAACCCACAGACAACCAAACCAAAGAGCTGGAGCCTGAAATTGGCATACTCGTCATCCCCATCGATATTGGATGGTACTAGGAAAGAAGATGGCGAAGTTACGATCAATCGTGATGCTATCCTTAACGAAATCTCGAGGTTAGGACATGGTCTAGTTGATAGTATCGATGTTTTTGGTACATAGTAGAGCTCTCATAAATTGTCGGTATATTCTCATGTTTACAATATTCTGGGCGTCTGCACAATGTAAACGTTCGAGGTCTAAACAAGCAGCGGGCAAGGTATGTGCAAACATACTGTACTCCGTACAAAGGGATGAAACAAACGCAAAACATGGACACGGAGACGCCGGTTGCATTTAATATTACACCAAGTATCATTCTTTGTTTTTAACCTATGGCCCAGTTGGTTTCTCGGACTTTTCTAGATGTGTCTGAGAAGAAACTGAACAAAACTTGTCCTTAATCGCCACAACCTCGTAAGTTCCTTCGTCCGAGGTTTTAATGGTCTTGATATGTTCGTAAGAAATGTCATGCTTAATGTCAAGTATTTCCGCCTTCTTCCCCCTTCTGGCGATTGAGCTACGGATATATCTAAAAGAAAATTAGTACTCAGATGCTGGTGAAAGGGAAAAAAGGGAAGGGAGAAAACGCACGTAAACTCAAATGGTGGCGTCCCCCAGAATTCAAAGTGAAGCTCTGCTTCTCCACCTTCGTGTATATCAACAACAGAGGTTTGGCCTCTGCTGATTCTAACACTTGGCATTTCGTGGATGGTTTTCGTTACGTTTTTGTGCGCTTTGCATTTGCCACTGGCACCATCGCTTACGGCGGTGATGGTGAATATACCTGGTCTTTCTGCGATGCGGCGGAAATTCGTCGTCCGGGAAGTAGCTTTTCTGGCAACCCCATCAAATGTATAGAATACCTCAAACGGCGCATGCCCTGAAAGCGAGAAAGAAAGCCGCTCACCCACGCAATAATCGGCCTTGGATTCGAGAGGGATTACGGTAGGTACGTCGGAGACTGCAACCCTCACGGATGAGGCATCATATTCGGTTGCCCGCTGGCATCCACGCGCGTCTCTGACCTTGTGAATGCTGACGACATGCTGGCCTAAGTCCAGATGGCGCCGTGGTATCGGAAGCATGTGTCTATTTGCAATGATGTTCGAGATTGACACAAGTTCCGGCTTTGCCTTCGAATGATGTTTTATGGATATTTCAAGGGTGAATGGTGGGACGCCATCCAAAGTGATGGGAATCAGTTCTTCGCCGCTGACATCCTCCTTGCAGAAACCGTAGATTCGGCCAGGAGCATCAAATCGCGCCGATGGCAGAGGGTTCACCTTCTGTGTCACAACCACCGGGTTGCTTCTGGGATCATGGTCATAGAGGTTGTCACCGATTTCCGTAAATGTATACGTGTACAGTCCAGCCTCCGAGGTATCCATTTCCATGGAAGCCGCATGAAGAACTGTCCTCAGGGTTTGCAATCGAACAGCTGGCGAACCACGAGTAATCTTGCGTTGCTGTTCGTATTTAATACTGTACGGCGGACTACCCGACAATCGAAGCTCGAGATTGTCATTTTCTCCTTGGCAAACATCGCGCTTCTCTTTGTGTCCGCCGGCTCCTATAGGAGAACTGTCCACAGCAGTAATCCGCGGGCGAGGTATCCATGAAACCTCGAATATCTTAGCGGCTTGGTCAACAGTTCCAGGACAGGAAGCATCAGTCACTCCGAGGACTTCATAACGCCCCTCGTGTTCCACAGTCAAAGCGCTGTTCTCTTGCCACAACGTCTTCTCAGCGACTGCTGAATCGTGGCTTGTTTTGTACCTCAGAGTCCATGGTCGCTCACCACTCAACCTTAGGGGAATATCAACTTTAGAGCCCTGTAAGGCCGAATATCTCCTACTTTTCTCGATCTCGCCGAAAGATACGTGTGGCGGTTTTGGTCGAGCGTCGATCTGGATACTATCCTTCAGAATTCGTTTGCAGTTTGACCGGTCTTTGACACTCGTTAACACAAGGTTGTATTCGCCGCCACTGACGAGCTTTTCGGTCACGATGCTCGAGACGTCACTCTCTGTCTCTAAAACGTGCTTGCTTTTCTTGCCATTATGAACAAGTTCGTACTGCAAAGTCCATGGCGCTTCACCATGCAAGGCTACATCTACAGACACAGGCTCACCGAAGCAAGCCTTCCGCACCGCTCTAGACCCAAGGAAATGAGCAGAAGCAGGAGGCTTAACGTGTTGTTCCAGAACGGGGGCCTTATCTTTGAGAGGTCGTGGTGCGTACACTGTGTCTGCGATATCTAAGAAGCGATAGCGGTAGAAGCCCGCTTCAGACGGAGTAAGGTCCAACTGGGTTCGCAACCCCTCAATCAACTGGGTCTTGGTCTCAATGCCTTTGGAATGTTCAACGATGTACCGGAGCCGGAACGGCGGGGATCCTGTGAAGTCTAAATCGACCAACAAGCCGACCGGGTTGTTTGCGCATTTATCAAAAATCTTTTCATACCTGACAGCCAGCTCAGGTTCAGGAGGGTTATGCAGATAACAGGACGATGGTTCCAAAATTTCGCCTGTGCAAAATTGACTAGAAATAGCATCCAAAACGTACCACCCTGGATCTTTTATTTGAGGCTTTTGGCTCAGACTCTTCAGAGACAACTCTCGGACTCTACCAGGCATATCGCCAGCAGACTCATGATCGTTGTTGAAAGAATATACGATAGAAAAAGGCCCATCTTTGTCATACCCTTGTCCCGACTGGTGAAATTTGACAGGCAGATCCACACTGTCCCCTCGTGCAACTTCTATGAAATGCTGATCATTGCATCCAGATAAAGATAATCGGGGCCTTTCATGGACAGAGAACTGATGCCATTGGGACAAGTATTTTGTAGGCAGTCGATCGACCTCATCCAAAAATGCTGTATAATTGGCGACGTTGCCACAGCCATCGTGTACTTCTTCAATCGCATAAAGCCACTCCCCACTGAGGTTCAGTGACTCATTCAACGGTACTTCGATTATTTGGCTCTGGGCCCAAGCAATGTCCGGCTCACGCGAATTGACAAGGGTACCAATATTCCTCTGACCTAGTAACGGTGACCGTAAGTACTCTGGTTGAATGTTTTGGAAAGAGTATCCTCGATCACGACGATTCACTTGTCTGCTGTATTTGATCTTCAGCGGCGGTGTGCCCTCAACCGTCAGGACCAAATTAGACAACTCGCCTCTACACTTATGGGTGTGGGAGCTTTTGATAGAGGCGCGAGGACATGATACAACAAGTGCATCAGACCTTCGCATACGAACGTCAAGATTGGACTCATCAACTACCCTTTGGAGGCGGTATATGCCCGGCCGCCGAATCGGAAGTAGAATGTCACGGTGCAAATCGGTGTCAGATCCCTGATGCTTCTTGCCTGCCTGACGTTTCATCTGTTTCAGCTGCTTTGAAGTTATTGTGATTGTTTCATTGCCGCTGCTAGTAAAATCCAAGCGGAGTAACTCTATCAGGATAGGGTCGGTCTGGTTGATTCGAATAGGCAGATTGACGGTGGTCTTCTCTGAATCTATACAGAGAGGCGTCTGGTCTGGATTTAACACGGCAGATCTAAAATCATTAGTACATTAGACCAAAATGCAAGAATTTGTGGGAACCGCACCCTTCAGGCAGTATATGAACTATTTGTTTTCCTAGTATGAGTGAGGCATTATGAATGATATCACCTGGCTTAACACTCCGTTCAGATATTGACAACTCTCTATCGTAGGCCAGTTTGACTATTCCTGATACCCAGGCACCAATTGGAATCTAGTCAAAGTTAGTAAGTCTGACCACTGTATTGGGAGGAGTCTCCACATACCGGAATTCGAAACATGAGGAATACATTGCCAACTACGTGTATCAGAAAAATCGCAAGGGTTGTAGGGAAAGCCCATTCTAGCCAGGGTATGCGCAAGGCCTGAAGCCCAAAAAGGAACACTCCGTCAATACAAGCCCACTTCAGAAATAACCAGGTTGCATCTAAATCATCCGAAGCTTTCCAAGATTCATAAAGCCGCCAAGCGTTGAGCGCGACATAAAAGGCCACTATATAGAGTCGTTGCGATGGTGCATCTATCAGCTCAACTGGGATAAGTGGCAAATTTGCACCTTGGGTTGTCGGCGATGCCTTTGAGGGGGACCTTTGGAGTCCTGCGTCGCGCTGTTTAGATCTAGATGGGGAGCTATAGGAGTCTCGCGATCTCTGCGACGGTTGGGGCGTCTGAGGGAAAGCAGACCGAAGTCGGGGAGTGTCATTCATGGCATGCTGTGATCGCGGGGTACCCACGGTCTACTAATATCACCTATACAATCAGTCAGCATATCCGGGAATGCGCAGCCAACACACTATCGTTCACTATTATAGGTCCAAGCGCCGATACAAGCATACCTCCAGCAGAAAAGAGGTCCTCTATCTCTTAGCCGGTCTGGGGAGGCAAAAAGGTCCTTGCACTTTTGTGATACCTTGTGCTAGGTACAGATGCCGTACAAAGACCTTCTTTTACCTGTCGCCACCAACTGAAAATCGATGTTGGAAACCGACTTGAAGCGCTAATTCGACTAAAGCGCAAAAGATAAAGAAAAGAAGAAGGGGGGAAAAAAGATCACTGTGCAAGAACGAGAGTCCGGCAATAATCTTCAACGCGTGGAGTCGCGTCCAAGGTAGCTTCAGCCAATGGGGAAACGGACCCAATGGTATAGGCGGTCAGGCCAACTTAAAGAGGTTAGCTACTACGGAGTACTAAAGTACCTACCTTACCTCAGCTCCAAGCATCAAACGCTACTACTACTCCGTAGGTACCTAACCTAGAAGAACTTGACGGGTATAGATGCATGTTGTCCACGGTAGTGTTCTTACGTTTCGCAAGCACCAGCCTTCCCTTATTTATCTAATTTTTTTGGCGCCCTTAGTTGTTGTTCTATTTCGTCGTATTCTTTAGTTATCCTTCATAACCTGATTTCTTTCCTCAACCTCGCCTCTTTTATGACGGCGGCCAGTATAGTAACGGTTCTTTTACGATAACCTAGCCTGCCCAATGGTAAATTTCTAACATATTCCAGACCCTGGTACTTCACATTTGCATTGCATCCACAACCTATCGAAATCATTCCATCTCAACCCTCTCGAGGGAATTGGGAAAACGGAGGGTGCATTACACGCATGACTTTGCGACGACGGTTGAATAGTCATGGCCAATCGCCTAGATAACTCTGCCAACGACCCATGTCGGTCAGCAACGGTGCAGGAGAAGGAAAGCTGGAATGGCTTTTGTGAGCTGGAGTCGGAGCCTGTAATTATTATTATTATTATTACTATTACTATTGGTATTCAGTTTTCCTGTTTGTGCTAACTTTCTCTAAGGCTCTTTTCAATGTGATGCTGCGAGAATTCGGGGTGAAAGGCGTCAAAGTCCAAGAAGTTGTATCATTAGATGAAGAGATGATGGCATTCTTACAGTAAGGCATATTGAACATGGTGCACCGTTTTCTACTAACCGAAGCACCTGTGGCCGCATAGCAAGCCTGTCTATGGGTTGATCTTCCTGTTTCGTTGGCGGGAAGATGATCCGGAGAAGCAAGAAGCGAGCTGCCCAGAAGGGCTTTGGTTTGCAAACCAGGTCGGTTTACCCCATTGCCCCCACACTTCCTCTAACGTCACTGAGGAACTTATTGCTGATAGTTTTAAAATAGACTACCAGCAATGCTTGCGCCAGTGTTGCCCTGCTAAATATTGTCAACAACATAGAAGGCATCGAGCTTGGGGATAACCTACAGCATTTCAAGGACTTCACGATGCCGTTTACTCCTGCGCTTAGGGGAGATGCCATCAGTAATTTTGAATTTGTCAAACGAATACATAATTCATTTGCAAGGTTGGAGTTTGCTAGCAAGCCTTTCACCGTTTCTTTTCGCCACGAGGAATGTATCTGACTTTTGTATAGGAAAATGGATATTCTCAATTCAGATCTTCAACTAAAGCATGAGGCGAAATCTAGGCGTTCTCGTTCGAGTAAGGGCATGCACGATGAAACTGATATAGACGCAGGGTTCCACTTTATCGCGTTTGTCCCTGCGTTGGGGAAAGTCTGGAAGTTCGATGGCCTGGAACGCCAGCCCCAGGCACTCGGTACGTGAAGGGCGGCGGCAGGAGAAGCGTACAGTACATATCGCTGACGTGAGCCACAGGGCCTTGTACTCCTGATGAGGATTGGTTGGGTTTGGTAAAACCGCACCTTATCACCAGGATGACTGAATATGAAGAAGGTCAGATTGAATTCTCAATCCTCAGTCTCGTTAGGGACCCGCTTGTAGACCTTATTGGTAAACTGGCTGTCAATATAAAGTGTCTGGAGATGCTTAATCAGCGCTTAACTACCCAAGCTCCTGGAGTGGCCCACTCGGACTCGCCGTTTGCAAGTCCCATCCTAGAAAATACTATTCTGGGTCCGGATAAGTCCTTTGATATAACAAGAGAGTCTCTCGATCAGGCAATTGTTCCAGTGGTATTGGAGAGGTACCATTTGTTCTCCGTGCAAGAAATAGCCGAGTTCCAACGAAAGCTTTGCAATGAACAGCAGTTGTTACGAGCTGCGATTCGAGACGAGCAGCAAACCCAGCGGGCGGATGACGACTATGCGGCAGGGAGGAGGTACGACTACGGGCCAGCTATACGAACTTGGGTGCGATTCTTGGCCCGCAAAGGGCTGGTTGAGAGCTTAATACCAGTGGAAGAGGTATGATACAGCGGGGTGGCCCGAGGGGATGTTGAGAGCCTTTCCTGTACTGGAGAAAATTACCGCCGACGATAGGGCATTTATTTACTGGTTGGTGATAGTAAATAGGTATCAGGTGAAAAGGTGAGCCCGAACAGGATGGAAAGACAATATTTGATACTAATGTAGTATCGCGCCTAGAGTACGGAGCACTAGTTAGATTAACACAACATAGAGGGGAGAGGGGCCCGGGGGGTGCAAGGAGAGAAAGAAATGGATATGGAAACCACTGCCCTGGTGTGAAGTTGGACGGTTCACTGAAGTACTAAACGGACCTCGTGATGCGCCGATTGGTTGTCATCTAATCTTTTTAATAAAATGTATTGAGGTAAAGACAACTATGAAACTCTAAAACCGGTCTACTGTTTTAAGGTTAGTAATTAATCGATGCATGACTAGCTAGCTAGTTTACTAGTATTAGTAGTTACTGAACCATTCCTGACCTCCCGTTTTCCTTCGTTGTATACTTGTGTATGTACGACAAACATTCTACTTGCTTTGTGAAATACTTGTATAGTGATATCAACTTCTCGCTTACTGCTATTTTGGGATCCAGATTACTTAGAACAGAAGCACTCTTCATAATTACTGCTTGGCGCAAATGATCTTACTCTAGATAGGTAATTCCTCTGGGAGCCTTTCGCCCTCTTCTTACTTGTGTTACGTCCTCGAAATACCGTAACCATGTACGCAGTACTAGTATGTACTGTACTAATAATAACCCCAGCTGTTTATTCCTTACCAACCAGAAATCAATGAAAGTGTCGGTGACGTACAGTCAAGGCAACCACAAGAAAATACCGAACGTCACCGCCTCTAGAGGAAGTGGTCATAGAACTTTCATCGCCGTTTTGTTACAGCCCGAATTCTGATCTAGAAGTTTCATTCTTTTTGTTCTTTGGTACTTCTTCGTCATCTTCTTCTTCGGTTCCCCTGAGTTGAGACTTTACCTGGTTGCTTATCTTCATAACAATTCTTTCTCGTGGCGGGGGAGCGAAAGGCGATTTAATCCCCCTTCTTTGCATTTGGTCGCCACACCGATTCTGCCCATCGAAAGACAATTTTTTTTTCTATATCGCTGCTCTCTTCAGCCATACACTTACCTACTGACACATTCTCTATTTCAGCCATTCAAAAGCTAGGCCTCGCTATGTCTCCCCCAGCAGCATCGGATGCTCCCGAAAAGACCCCCGACGACTCTTCCAAGTTGAAAACCTTCCTCTCTATTTTAAAGAAGTATGTGTAGATGGCGGTCTTGATTTTCATATTCTGTTCGATCCATACTGATTCGATGGTGCCGTGGCTCTATAGGTTTATTGGGGTCGCTGATATCGCATCTGTTCGCTTTTCATTACCTGCCCACCTTCTAGAGCCGACGCCCAATCTAGGTAGGTGGTTTCCTTGAGGCTACACTGGTGCCCACTTAACGAAGTGATTACTGACTAGGTCGGGGGTCTGGCAGAATACTGGAACTATTTGGACAGACCAGAGACCTTTGCAAGGTCAGCAAGGTAGCCTACCTTTCACCAGGGCTCGTTTTCTGACGGGAAAGTCACAGCATTGGTCAATCAGACGATCCGCTGGGCAGGACGCTTGAGGTCTTAAGGTTTTGGTTCACAAAGGACCTGGTATATATCTCCGTGGTACTTCAGTTGTTGTGAGAGACCGGTACACTGAAAGTGATCATAGAAATACATCAAGGGTAAACCGTGCAAGCCGTATAATTCTACACTGGGTGAATTTTTCAGAGTGAGTTTGACTTCCCCACGAGTGTTCACACGCTTCTGCCTGAATATAGACTAACTTATACACTCAAAATTTCAGGCTACTTGGGAAATTGATGCTGCCCTCCCAGAAGTACAAGTACATTCCAAGCCAGGGATAGCAAATGGAACCTCCACCGCGAAGGATGGCAATGCTGAAGCGGTCAAGGTATGCTACCTGACTGAACAGACATCTCACCATCCACCAGTATCCGCATTCTTCATCGACTGCCCTCAACGAGGGGTTTCAGCACGTGGCTTTGATCAAATTAGTGCCAAATTTACAGGCACAAGCATTCGCGTTGCCCCCGGTCAGCACAATCTGGGGATCTTTGTCAAAATCGCCCCGAGAGATAATGAGGAGTATCAGCTGACCCACCCTGCTGCCCATTTGGGTGGTCTGTTGAGGGGTGCACTGGCCATAACCGTCTCAGATACGTGCTACGTAACTTGCCCCAAAACACGCATCAAAGTGATTCTACAATACCTGGAAGATGGCTGGATTGGCCGAGCCCAAAACAGGGTCGAAGGAGTGGTCTTTCGGTATGATCCCGACATCGATACCACGACAAAAATCAAAGATGTGCCAGAGAGCGATATTCTTGCCAAAATTAGCGGCTCATGGCACGGACAAGTCTACTACACTTTGTCTGGGGCAGGTGAGCCCCAGCTTCTAATCGATATTACCCCACTCTTCCCAGCCACCAAGAATGTGCCTCCTGAGGCGAGTCAGCTGTCCAACGAGTCTCGCAAGTTTTGGTCCAGCGTTACCGAGGCGATAGTAGATAAAAATTATAACCAGGCCACCAAGTGCAAACAAAATATCGAAGAGAGGCAGCGGCAAAAGGCTGCTGAGAGACAGGCAAAGAATGAGATATGGCAACCTCGGTTCTTCACGGACGCTGTTGCTCCGTTGGGCAAACCAGAGTTGACTGAAGAAGGGCGTAAGGCTCTTGACGGACTTTATAATGGTGACTACAGCTTGAAAGAAAGTGAAACAAAAGGCGCATAGACTCACATCTCTTCTGGTTGTGACTGTACATACATACATGAATTTGGCGTATAAAACGAGAGGCTACGAAGTAGTCCTTGGCCTACGTACCATTACAAATTACTTTTGGAGCTTCCTTCTTGGTAATTTACTGAGTCCGTACATTGTTCTCTTTCTCCATTGACCGTCGCATTTCATTGGTGCCCTCAAAAATTTGAAGCTTCTAAAAGTGCAGGAAAAAGACACGGTTCCGGGCGCATACGATAAAGGGTTTGGATAAATTTAAGACAATAAAAAAACAAAGCGATACAGTCATCACCACGGAAGCATGATTTACTAGGGGCGAACATACGTGTAGCTAGAAAATCTTGTTCATTTGTCCCAACGAATCCAGCCTGTGAAGTCTTAAGCTTCCAGTCGATATTGACGACGAGTTATGACCAAAGCGGGAGGGCTACCACCTCCTGTAAATGAACAAAAATTACAGAAAATATGACCATTATATAAGCTTGTATAGGTTGGAGTCGCATATATGATGGCCCAGGCCAACAGAAACTACCTTCAGCAAGAAGATGAGAAGTATGATAATGATTACAACCACAATAGCCACCACCCAAACGATGAAAAGAAGAGTACTCTTAAGCTCAATATACTGCTCAGCATAAGATTTCCCATAGTTTCTTGAATGACTCATAACTGCCAAATCCATGTTCACCGCTGCGCCATCTCAAAACGCCAAAGGAAACCAACCGACGAGTTGGTCGATATCGTCGCCCTAGGTATTGGCAGTGACTACTACCTTGTTAAAACCAGCACTCACTATCTTCGTTATCTCTTCATTCTTATGGGGCAACAGCGATAAGGCGTAGGCTACATCATTCCATCGCCGCTCGGTCTCGCACCGTGGGAGGCGAGCAGCCAGCTTATCAGCCAGTTGCCGGGCATGTTTCTCCTGCAAAGCCACAAACAAGATTAGAAGCTGTACATGGGGAAGACAAGGATACCCGAAGCACTCACTTTTTCGATGAATCCGATCAGGAACCTGACAATACGTCTCAATGAAGCTTCTTCAAGGTTCCGCTCTGCACTCAAGAGACTGAACATATCAACGAAGTGATTGTACACTGCATTATCCTTGCTAGCTAGCTCCGTGAAGAACATGCGCGCTAAATCAGCAATTCTTTTGTCGTCATCTTCCAAGCACTTGGCCATCTCGCCTAATTGTCCCTTGACTTTGACCTGGCCTGCTAAGATGAGAAAAGTTAGAGTCATGAGGCATGTGCGCTTGACAGAGACATCATCATCATTGAGCCTGCGGTATAGAAAGTCTGTGTTCTCGTCAATAAGATGATTGAAACACACTGCCATATCACCCAGCGTAATTACTGCATTGCTACGAACGATTGGGTCTTCGGAACGTTCCATAACAGTGATTAAGAGAGGGAGGTTTTTCTCGCAGTACTCCGCCGAGACACACATTAATTTGGCCATACACAAAGTTGCTGCTGCCTGAAGGTTACGGTCAGGGTATGTGTTGCTGTTGGCGCAAATTTCTGTAACCAACGGGCCAAAGTTGGACAAGAGAGACTTATTTCCATAGAGCAGTTCCCGCTCACGGATGTGTGCCATGGCATCTGTAAAGTCATCTTCCGTTGTTCCACCGATGAGATCAAGTTCATCATCTTCGGTGGGGTCTTTGCTCGTTTGAGGTGTTGCAGTGGACGCTTTATTTTTCTCCTGTTCCGCTTTGCGGCGCTTGAAGTCAAGCTCGCACAGCTCGAGGTGTACTATTTGCTTGATTGCAATATGTCCAACAACAAATAGCAGTTGGGAGAGCACAGCAGATGAAGACTTTCTGGTGGTTGGGCTGTCTGTTGACGCTGTCCCGGGATGCTTCTCGTCCCCATCACTAGCACCTTGTGAAGGAGAGCGCTGTGCTTGTGGCTGGAAAACAGACCTTGTCTTCCGCTTGAGGATATCAGAGCATAAAACATCTGGATGTTTAGACAGTGCATATATGGCACTAACAGCTTGCTCTGCCACCCCATACCATTCTTTATTGTCGGACACGATCTCGACAATAGCCGCGAGTTGGGTAAGGATGGGGTGATCGTTAATTAGTTTGGGAATGCCGACTTCTTTGGACTTTGCCTGTCGGCCCGGCACCATCCGTCTCAGGGCAATGCATGTATATCTCGCAAGAACAAGGTCCGCCCTTCCCAAACTCCCAAGACCAATCCGCAGCATTACCTCAATTTCCTTGATAACCACGTCGGGATCAGCAAGAGCAAGCATGCCAAGGACGATGATAGCACCCCGGCGTTGGGTTTTCGAGATCTCCTTCCTTTGGACCCCATATACCTGCCACAACTTCGCAATGACAGCATCCGAAATATGACCAGCCTTCATCATAGTACTTAGCAGTTGCTCAAGACATGTCAGCTCAGCGGGTGTAGAGCCAAACGTCAGACTGATCATGTTCCGAGCAACGTAGTTTGCCGCATCATTGGGGCTGAAGGAATCTGGCGCTTCGAAAAAAAGACCTTTGTAACAGTCAATGAGATGGGTTTGGACGCCTTTCCCTTCGTCACTGTTGCCTTTTGTCCAAATAAGTCGGAGCATTCGTCGAATTCCACTACGGGATGTTTCCACCTTGTATGCGTCAAGCACAACAAAAAAGTCCATGGCTTCTATAGCCTCACTCTTATTTCTAGACGACAGCAGTTGTGTGACGACTCCAGAGGCAGTATGCAGAACCTCAATGAACCGAATGGCTTCGTTATAGTATTTTCTAGTCAACTGAAGCCGCGCTAGCAGTTCCGATGTTGCAGCTTGCTCGGCGGCCCTTTTCACCGCTGCGGCTTTCTCTTCTTCAGTCATGCGCGGTGCTTTGGAAGGGGATTCGTCTGGCATCTGCGTCGCATCATCTAAGAGTTCGCTATCAACATGCGAGGCCTCGCCACCGTCGAAACCTGGTGTCTCAGGGGGGCGGAGGGAATTCAGTTCGGCATCAACAGCATCAAGTCTGGCTATCCACTCTTTATAGGAGAGCTGTCCACCATGCATGATACTGAATGGGTGAGTAGACACCAGCTTGGAGAGTAATTTAATTGCGTTTCGTCGTACGTTGCTACTCTTGTCTTCCAGGCTCCTTGCTGCCAGTTCTGCAACTGCCTGCCGCCTTTTCGGGAACTTCTGATCCAAATCGCAAATCCTCATATACACTTGGATGGCACGGCACCGACAGTAGGGGTTAATGTCTAGGAAGCGTTCCTCGAGCACATCAAAGAACGCATTAATCTGGGTCTTGTAATTATCACTGCGCTCTTCTTGCCGACTGAGATCAGCAATAAGGTTCCCGCAAACCTCAATCACCGCACAACGAAGGGTATAAGACTGTTGCTCAGTCAGATGCCAACATATACAGATAGGAAGTGTAAGATGGTAGTACTTCGCTGTCAAGCTGCTTAGCCAAGAGTGTCATTTGTTTTATGATCAATCGTGGGGCAAGCTCAGAAAGTTTCACGATAAACGCAGATACCGACTTTGGCCCTCGTGTATCATTGGAATTAAACGCCTTATTTCCAAGCTCCCTGCCACATATTAGCTGACATCCCAGCAGTTCCAGGGTATGAGTTTAGTACTTCAGTATCTCATCCGACAGCTGAGGATAATCATATTGCTCCGCAAGGATGTGCAAAAATTCAGCCATAGGCTCGGACAGATGCTCAAAATATGTTAAGCTCTGGACGATAGATGTCTGGGCGCCTTCATTATGGGTCAGCTCCGTTGAAGCAATCTTAAGTATCGTGGGCACTCACCAAAAGCATGGCCATGATGCTTGACCGCAATACATAGAACTTTGAAGGCGTGCATGCGAATAGTCATACTCTTTACTCGCTGCTCACTTTCGAGGATGAGATAGATCGAACGTGTAAATAGATTAACAAATGTGTCGCGGTCTGATGTAGTTAAAAATATCCTGCTGAGCTTGAGCTTCATGACCTTGCACATAGTCTCCATGGAAATCTGTATCTGGGCTGTCCAGTCCCAATGACCTTCTCTCATGCTAGCTTTCGACCGACCCGACTTCCCTACACCTCTCCGAGCAGGAGCAGCATCCGCAGGTCGCTCGGCTGCCTTAACTTCCACGGCAGAAAGTGCCCATTGTAATAAGAAACCATACATTTCTAGTAAATGCTTATGGTGTTGGACGCCATCCGGTTCGTCGGACTCGAGGTCTCCGTGGATAATATCCGCTTCAACGGATAATCCTGACACAATTAGGTCGAGGAGCTTGCTCAGCGACCTTACGGGCAAGATTGAGCAGTGTCTGCGAAGTTGAACTAACGTTAGGGTTCTTTCCGAGCGAAGAGTTCGGGGGATGAATCAGAGGGTCGAGCGCACTTTAAGAGAAACTGTAAAGAGTCGAAGAAGGACGGCCTGGCTAGACCTTCCGGGTTCTCAGCTATCGCATCGACAATAGGGTTTAGGACATTATCAATTAATGCAGTGGACAATTGGTCCGGGTCGGCTTCACATTCCAAGAGTTCGGGTTCAGCATCAGCGGTAGGAACAGAGGTTGGGTCACTCAGATAATACTTCAGTGACTCGTTGATGTCGAACTGAGCCCTGTCCTCCATGATGGGAGCGGCTGCGAGGGATATCCTCGAGGGGCGTGTGGAAACTGAAAGACTTGGTTAGGCGGATAATGGGTGTCGTGGGGTAAAAGAGGGTTGGAGCGACGAGACAGCGAATGCGGAAGACAAGTTTGGTGGCGGCAGGCTTTTGTTTGTATTTTTCCTCTTTGGTGATAAGCTGGCGCTCTGGATCGGTAATAATACACATTTGATACAAATAATTACATCACATTGCCAACAAGATGGGGCTTTTCCTCCCACCATAATACTGCTTAGGGAGCCTGCAATTGGTGTATTGCAGTATCTATAGTATATCTGGTACACTCTTTTCATAAAATCTATGTTCTACAGTCTGCAGATCGTGGAGACAGATGGTAAACACAAACATAGCCTTACTAGATCGGGAAATTTTTGCACGCTTCATCCATCAATTTGCTCCAAACCCCGCGGAACTGGTTCATGAACCCTTTCCGAAACATAGAAACTGCAACACTGCATCATCGGATATCCTCCACGCACACACATACGCGCCATGAACTAAATTTCCTTCGTGTCCCACGCTATTTATTACATTTCAGCCCTTTTACCCTTCTCAGATTAATATTGTGTGCGAAGCTTCTGCAAACAATTATCCCCTTGACTAAAAGCCGCGAAGCCTTCTGGCGACTTATGCGGTGCCATGTCCACTCACCATCCAGCGCCTACTGGTATTTTTGAGTTACAGAAGCCGGGCCCTTCGAGACCATCACATGCGCTAGCAGGACCCAGATACGCAAGAGACGAAGGTGCGGCTACGGACAGCGATGCATCCGTGATGGAACATGAAGATGAAGACCTCCAGGACGAGGAAGACGTCGATGAATCAGTGAAAGAGGATATGAAGAAACTTGAGGATACGTTTCCCGGAATCTCGGATAGGTTTCGCTTGGTAAATAGAATTGGTGAAGGTAGTCAACATCCATATTTGCTTGCTGCTTTGCGTTCGGCTTCCCTTGGTTGACACATCGCAAACCTATAGGCACTTTCTCTACCGTGTACAAAGCGGAGGATTTGTTGTATGATCATTACAGGAACGATTGGGATATGTTTCAAGGTCATCAATGCGACAGTTGGACGAGCCCTCCCTCAAAAAAGCGACGTGTAGAGGGAGAACGTGGACAATCCTTGCCTACCAAGCGACAGAAACCTCGTTATGTTGCCCTAAAAAAAATATACGTGACTAGCAGTCCATTTCGTATTCAAAATGAACTTGAGCTGCTACATGACCTCCGAGGCTGTCGATCCGTATGCCCCCTGATCACAGCCTTTCGATACCAGGATCAGGTTGTAGCGGTCTTGCCCTTCTTTCCTCATACCGATTTCCGTATACAATACCGCACATTCTTGGTTGCGGATATGCGACATTACTTCCGGTCCCTTTTTACCGCCTTGCACTCAGTCCATAAACACAATATCCTCCATCGCGATATTAAACCGACGTAAGAGGACGCGTTTGTGGATCTGTTTTGTTTTGATTTGCTGACGATCTAATGAACCCGCAGCAATTTCCTTTATAATCCAGAAATTCGAGAAGGTGTCTTGGTGGACTTTGGTCTGGCTGAGGTAAGTCTATAACCAGCAGGTGGAATGAGAAAAAAGAAAGAAAAAGAAACACCCCCACAGTGAACTGCCATTATGGCCTTATTATCTGACCACCCGGTGTAGCGCGAGGGGTCCGAGTATACAGGCACGTGTCTTTGTGCCAACCCAAGCTATGTCCGTCGCAGTAGATTGTTACAGAGCTACTACTCCACCCATTGCTCAACCTCGACTTTGTCGGCCGGCTACCCGAAGAACGATTCTAGACCATCAAGGCGTGCTAACCGAGCAGGAACACGGGGTTTCCGTGCGCCAGAAGTTCTTTTCAAGTGTACATCTCAGACGACGAAGATAGACATGTGGTCGGCAGGAGTAATCCTTTTGACTTTACTTGGTCGTCGCTTTCCTTTCTTCAACTCCGCTGATGATGTTGATGCTACGATAGAAATGGCTAGTATTTTCGGGACGCGTCGCATGAAGACGGCGGCAGCTATGCATGGGCAGATATTTGAAACAAATATTCCAACAATTGGAGAGAAAGGATATAGTTGGGAGAAGCTTGTAAAGTGGGCCAGCTGTGTGGAGGAGTTAACTGAGAGCGAGAAACAAGCAACTCGCCTTCTGGCTGGTCTCATGGAATTGGATCCATATAAACGATTGAGCGCCAGAGATGCCCTACAACACGAGTTCTTTACGGACCCCATAGAACACGATGTTGAATGGGGAGGGAATCCCGAGGATAGTGCTGAATCTGTGGAGGAGGACGAAGCGGACAAAGATGACGAGGCTGATGAGGTCGCAATGATTTAAACCCCAGAACAATTTATGATAATGATATCTTCTTAATACGCTCTAGGGAATTTTTGCTCCAAAAAGGTCGCCCAGCCACTAGTTCTATATGTTGACTACAGTATCGCTGCGATTGGTTTAGGCCGTGTTCACGCATCGTGCAGTTCCACCCTTGTTCAAAAAGGCTTTGAAGAGTAGTCCTGCAGATGGTACGACCGGTCGTATTCCAATGGTGGTTATATCACTCATGATTCTATTCGGGCACTATGTACTAGTTGAGTGTTCATCTCGCTTGACCTGTTACCGTTAATCTGAACTGGCCTCCCCAAAATTGTAATGGCCAGTCTGCGATGCGTGCTGAGTGGCGCCCTTTTCTCCAATGAAAACCCGACCACATGTATTGCAGCGAATACGGAAACCTGCGGTATCAGTATAGTAGTGCTTACTCTGCAGTACCTTACAGAGCTCTAGCGCTTTTTGTAGCACTAAGGGATCCGCAGCGTCAAAGACCTTGGTGTCAAACTCAGGGGGTGCATATGAATGGGTGAAAGGAGGATCGGACGGAGATAGCGCAATGGTATCATAATGAATACCTGAGTAAACTAAAATACAGCGAGTTGGTGGACCTTCGTTGAATCGATCAATGCGGAGCGTTTGTACATCGATTGAGCAGATTTCGATATCGAAATGCTTGCTGAGGATGCTAAGTTCGATACCTCCACCCCATGAATCCTCGTTCTGTATCCAGCGGCAATAGTCGTCCGACTTCTTCTCTAGCACTGCCTCCGAGTAGAGGCCCGGATTTTGTTGGATAGTTTGTGCGACAACAGACCTCAACTCGTTCATCGCATCCATACCCCCCATGAGAGCACTGCCCACAGCGCGGAACAAACACGAGTTGTCATCAGGCATAATACGTAAGACAAAGGTACCCGCATGCTCAGGAGATGGAATCTCGGGTGAATCGTCTGAGATAGCGTCGCTGGACGTGTGTGACATCGGATGCTTTTTGAGTGGCTCTTGCGAGCTGGGTGTTAACCCCTCATTACTGGGAGGTGCTTCTCTCTTCGTTATCAGAAGTTGCTCCCCATCCAGCTTAAACCCGATATCAGAGATCTTCTGGTTTGATTGAAGCTCATCTAGCAGAAAATGTTTGAGATCGGGATATCCATATCTCACATCGTAGGATTTCAATCCAGTCTTATCCACAATCTGAGTTCGGAGATCGTTCACGGTAGCACTATCATCAAGAGTGATAGTGGATTGTCCATTTGGTCCACGGATACGAAATCTCATCTTCAGAAGTGGGTACTAGTATACCGGAGATTGGTAATAAATCTCGTGGGGGTAGGGAAGGGAGGAAGGAAAGCAGCGCGGAGTAGTAGCGGACTTGAGGAGATAGAACCCGATAACTAGCTAAAGGCAATAGGGATTATAAACAGCACTCAACTACTAGTGGGGCGAAGTGGGAACACGAAGAAGGAGGGGGAAGAGCTCTTGCCTTCAGGTTCCTCTTCCATACTATCGGTATTGTAAATATGCCCAGCACCAGTAATATTTAGCACTGTGTATATCAAACAATGGAAGTCTGGGCGGTTAGCCGAAACGATTTATATTCTCAATGATTTGTGCTAATAAGGAAGAAATAGCAGTAAAAACTTTTGGTTATCAGATTAATGATTGTACTCGAAACCCTACATAATGGGAGATGACATGAGGACACATTAGTTGGTGGGATTTTTCAGATTTCAAACTATTTCTTTATTTTTACCTATTGTTTATGTACATACATACATATCAGATATATGTAATCCGTATACGGAGTATCAACTCAGATCCTCCCCACATCAAATACTTAGTAGCATGCGGATGGTAACCCGCCTGTGATGTTCTTTCAAGCCTACAAAAAGGTAGTACTGTAAATACCTATATATTTTATATATATGCCATGGTACAGTACCCATGTTTTTCATGTCCTAGTACAGATTGGTATGATACACCTATATACCAATAAATCATTTGAGCGATAGAATGAAATAATAGCATTCTACACGGAGTACAATCAGAGTATATCCATGAGACTTATCGATCTCCTAGTACTCCAAATGTAGTTAGTAGTAAGTATGTATGTAGATACCGAACTTAGTACAGTTGGTAATCACTTGGAATTTAGGGGTTCCTTTAGTACCTAATATAGCACAGTACAGACACTTATAAAGATACTGCTCCCTAGGTACAGTACATAGGAAGTATTGTGTATATTGTACATAGTTATATGTATACCCTGTACATGACGTCTACCTCACAATAGCTATACTCCGTATGAACTTGTAGCAGAGTTCAATAAGTTACAAGTTTAATTGTAAGAAAAACGTACCGTAACAGTTCATGTATGTACCTGATGACTCAGCTGCGCGAACCTCCTCTGTTGCGATTTGCGCGCTCTTCTCAGCTCTTCTCACTGACAGAATACTTCCAGCAGCTTCCGCTGGTCTGCTTGAAGTGTCATTGATGATCCTTGGTCTTTGCGGCCGTGGTTTTATACAGCATGGAGAAGAGCTTGGAGCCGTCGCAACTCCAACCCACATCTGAAGAGCCCGTTAAGTCAATCGAGGACGATGGGAAGGGCGATAGCGCTGCGACGGCCGAGGGTGTTACCGACGAACAATGGAGGTCAATGATGGATGTTGTCATGGCCATCTACGAGTTCAGAGAAGAAGAGTAAGTTTTGGGGATTTCCTTCGAATTATTCACTAGTCACATTGTGAAGCTCACTATTCCCGCCTTCAACCCCCAGTGGCCATGATCCGTCCAAACTTTTCCAACGCAGCGTTAATAAGCGCAATGTCCCGGACTATTACGATATTATTAAAGAGCCAATGGCTCTCAGCATTCTGAAGCAAAAGATCAACAAGAGAGAATATACGAAATTCTCTTTGTTCGTGCGAGACTGTGCTCTGGTAAATCGACGGCCGTCCTTCTCTTCGGAGCAATTGCTTTCGCGGTGTACTAGAGCTTGTCAATGCTAACATGTTACCTCTATGCCTAGATTCCTCATAATGCGCAAACATACAACCGTCCCAAGTCTCAAGCGTATGAAGACGCGCTCGTGATTAAGGTCTGCAGAAAACCCTCTATGCCCTCGCTGTAGTTTGCACTCTTTTATTAATGTTGGTCTGTAGGATGTATTTGTCGCCGAATTTCGGAAACTAGTAGATCAGGGAATAATTCCCCCAGAAGTTGCTGAACTTCCCGACCTCGGCGAGATCCCCGAAGCAGATCCTCTTCCGGAAGAGGAGGACGAGGACGAGGAAGACGACGAGGACGACGAGGACGAAGAGGACTCGGACGATGATGGCCGGCGGAAGAAGAAACGAGGCCCTCGTCCTGGAAGCAAACGAGACGGTGGAAAGGATGACGGCCACAAGTCTAACGATCCTGAGCTAAGAAAAAAACGAGGACGACCGCCGCGTGTGGACACACCTATGGAGGCTAGGATCAAAGCTGTCTTGAAGGGGATTCGAAAACTGAAAGGGCCAAGCGGCGCACTCAAAGTTCGGCATTTTGAGCGTTTGCCAGATAAGGCTACATATCCTGACTATTATGTGGAGATCAAAGAGCCAATCGCTATTGACATCATTAAACGAAAGTCTAAGCGGAAGAAGTATAACTCCGTCGATCACTTCATGAGGGATATGGACTTGATGTTCAACAACGCCAAAGTATACAACCAGCCCGAGAGTCAGATTTATAAAGATGCTGTGGACTTGCAAGTGGAATCACGGAAGCTCGCTGAAATTGAGAAAAAGAAACCAGACAGTGAGTACTTGATGGAGGATGGGCGTCTGCCATTACCGGATGGAATTCTTTACAAAGGCGAGCTATGGAAGGTCGGTGATTGGGTCCATATACAAAACCCTAATGATGTAACCAAACCCATCGTGGCCCAGATCTACCGCACCTGGCAGGATTCCGAGGGCGATAAATGGGTCAATGCCTGTTGGTATTACCGTCCCGAGCAAACCGTCCACCATTTTGAGAAGCACTTCTATCCAAACGAGGTGGTCAAGACTGGCCAGTACCGAGATCATCGGATCGAAGAAGTGGTAGATCGCTGTTTTGTCATGTTTTTCACTCGCTACAATCGTGGACGACCCAGGGGCCTCCCTCCTGACAAGGACGTATATGTCTGTGAAGCTCGGTATAACGAGGAGAAGCACAAACTGAACAAGATTAAGACTTGGGCGAGCTGCCTCCCGGATGAGGTAAGGGAGAAGGATTATGAAATGGACCTATTCGACGTTCCTCGGCGGATCAAGAAGGTTTCAAGTCCTATCAAGCACCTGTTGAAGAGCGACGCAAAAGAGACAGATGATCTTCCAAAACCAACATGGGGAGCCGAGAACGCACCGCCAATTGTTGGCGCTGTTCATCGTCGTCCGCGAGATGAGAATGTGAGTCTTTACTGTCCTGTAATGTCAACTTCATGTGCCCCTGTGACATTATTATTGTAGCTAACAGATCATATCCTCCCTAGGAGTCCCCACCACCTGAACCCACGCCTTCGCCACCCCCGTCTTTGCCTCCACAAAATCTGCCTTCTGCTCCTGCTCGGCAGGCTTCGATCAGTCAAACTCCACAGCGGCCTAGTGTGGATAGTCAAGGCAACACTACTGTAGCCGGAACCACTCCTGCACCACCCCGCTCGCCAGCTGCACCAATCCCTCCTGTTCAGAACGTGCCCGTACCAGTTCCTCCAACGACTTATCAGCAACCTCAGTTGCCCCCTACCCAAACATATCAGCCCGCCATCCAGAGACGCTCCAGTGGTTTTTTGCAACAGACTCCACAACCCTCCTACCAGACATCGGCTGTCTCTCATCCGTACGCAGCTGTTCAGCCAGCACCATATACTCCCTATCAGGCGAACCGCATACAAGTTCCACCGGGGACAGTGTACAACCCCAATGCCCCTCGTCCGATCGAAGTGTTCCATTTGAGCGATGCTGCTAATGCTACTATCCCGGAAGATATCCGAGAACAGTTCCATTGTGACAATCAAGGCCACGTGCTATTTTTCTCTTCGCCACCTCTGGAAATCATACCTCCCCTCCAACAGAGGCTAGGCCACTCGCTCAAATATCTAGCAGTTAAAGAGGAGCGCCGGAAACTAGTCGAGGCGAAGAAGCGCAAGGAGATGGAAGAGCAAGCCGTGCAAGACCAGAGAGTAAAGCGTCAGCGGGCTGACGAGGAAGCGTCGCTTGCTGTTAGAATCGAGTCTCTGACTATGAAGGCCATTGGCACCATGACAGATCACATTGGAACTGGCACAGAGATGATCTATCAGATGATCTATCATGACCAAGCAGAAAAGGCCAGACAAGCAAATTCCAGTGCCCTTGAGCAGAAAGCCCTTACCGACCGTATTGATAAGGAAAAGACCAGGCAAATTCAGGCGCAGTCGAGAAGTGCGACATTTGTCCCCCTCAAAGAGAATATCATGTGCATGGACGATATTTGACCCTGGGTTTTACTAAACAGGGAGAGGAATGAATACAAGTTGTCAACCCAATCTATCAGTTGCTGTTTTCGCTTAATTACCCAACATAATGCAAGCCTTTGTTGATTTAAACCTCTTTTTCTTTTTCTTCCTTTTCTTTGCGCGGGACACGGCTTATTGCGTAGGTAGCCGATTCGATATCCACCATCATGCACGTAGCATGATTGATAGCCTGGCGATTGATTGAAGCTTCGCCATTATTTTGGAAGGTTTCTGAGCATACAGTTCGACATAGATATCTTTATCAAACATTTCTAATTATGCACTGTATACACAAATTTCTGTAGGTGATGTTGTGAATATCTTCAAAGGCATAAATACTGTGAAATACATACACACTTCCTTTGACAACCATGATCACAGTTAAGAAGGCAAGAAAGAAACACATCATTGACTCGTAAGATTGAGTGGTTACATGAGTTGAGGGACATTGCAAAGAAAAGATAATTGAAGGGTGCGGGAATAAAAAAAGAGAAAGGTAGAGTGTACATGCAATGAGCAATCAGAGAGAGAACATTCCCTCTCTTCCCTCTTGGTTCTCTGCCTTCAAATGCCATGTTGTGAAATATATGAAATGCGGGAAGGATCGGAAGATATAAAGAACAAAATAAACATGAGAAGAATTATTGGCAGAATATTGAGCCTTTCCAATTCTCTGAAACTCCGACCACACCCTTGAATTATCCCAAACCTGGTCTAAGCCAAAAATATGCAAGACGAAAGAAGGCTGTACAGAGATACTCGAAGATCGCTTGTTTTAGTCGTTCTATGCGAAATGCCTACCAAATGTGGCTGAAGCCAGGCATTTCATATGTTCTTCAGTAAAACCCGATGAACGAAGTCATGGACTGGTGCCAAATTATAAAAACCGGTTTCCTCATGTTTCCCCTGATGCAGCGTGGCTTTTGTTTACCCCGATGAAAGATTATGACTTCTAATGAATTGGTGTCGGAATGGATGACTATCAAATCCTGGTTTTGCGCTTTCGGAAAGGATGTCAGGGCTGGAAGCCTGAGCTACTCGTTGGTGTAGAATCGTCGTCGTGAGACTCGGTTTTACTGGTACTCCAAGACTCGCTATTCCGTTTGTTGTTCTCTTCTTCTTCCATGGAGAAAACCAAGTCGCCTTGCTCCTCATCAATCCTGCTAGTACTGACGGGCGACGAGACAGTACGGTCGAGGCGGCCACTACCTCCCACTGATGAAGAATGGCGGGCAGCGCCAGGGTGAAGTGACATACCGCTAAGTTGTTGTGATATCATGGACGCTGACTGTTGCCGAGAAGGAGTAGAGACAAAGGGCGAGACGTCACCCGATGTTTGCCGGCTTCCGATGGGTCCAAGGCTGGGACTTGCGCCGAAGTTCAACGAAGACTCACGGAGAGGAGATCCGACTTGTGGTAATGAGGTGCCATGTGCATCCTCCTCCTTCTTCTGTCGCTGTTTCGCAAAAAGGGCACCAAATCTGGAAGGGCTGGACGCCAGAGGCGAGCCGACTTTTGAAAGGCTAGTACCAGTCATACCAAGCCCGCTGAGATCACGATGACTTGAGCTAGGTTCATAGTCTGTGCGTGAAAGGCGTCGTAGTCGCTCCTGCGGTGTCAGCACATCATCGTGCAAATTGATAGGCAGGTAGTCCTCCTCCATCGGGAAATTGCTGTCATCCCAATCATCCAAGGCGGTAAGCCGCGGAACACTCGCAGAGAGCATTCGTGGCTTCACCGACCGCTGTGAGTGCAAAAAGCGAGGTCCTGAGCCATCCTCAGGAATTCCAGGAGGGGAAGAACCTATGAAAGAAGGGGGCTTCCTTAAATCTGACCCATATGCGGTATCGCGGAGACTCCGGAGCGCATCGGAGGGGCCGCCGATTCTTTGGGCCGGCGGGGATAGTTCCAGCCCGAATTTCGATGGCATAGAAGCGGCTACCGGTCCATAACGAGCGGCGTGTGATATCCCTTGGCTATCAAAGGAGGCAGGGAGGGGTGCATCAAGTGCGGTTAAATGGCGGTGATTTGGAGACATGGGAAATCGCATGTCATCAATCGGAGAACCATACTTAGAGCCGGCGTCTGAGGCCAAACCCGCATCGATGGTGGGAATGGCGTCATATGGTTGTTGGGGAGAGTGTATGGCAGCGTACTCCTCTTGAGGGTGAACTTGAGGGCCATATCGGGGCTCTTGACCGTTCATTCTCTGTTGCGAAAGGACGGAATTCGTCAAAGCTGAATCTTGATTCACATACGCTTGGGGATTAACTCGGCCACCCAAGTTGAGGTGACTACCGCCCATTCCTACACCTGGGTTGGGTCGATTAACCCGTCGGCCATCAGGGAGAATATGCGCCAGCGCACACTTGGCTCCAAACTTGCAGTTACCCTAGGACCATGGCACACGTAATCAGCCACATATATTCCGCAGTAAAGGGGAAGAGCAACCCCAGGCATGAAAAAGCCGAAGTGTCTTCTGGGGGATCCATACCTTCGTGAAGTATTTACACGGCGCATAGTCAATCGCAGCATCGGTAGAATGTAGGAAAGGGCAGGCGGGTCCCGCCTGACAAGCTCCTTGACGAAAGAATTTGCAGGGGACATGTTTAGTATCTGTTGTCCGTCATATGTAAGTCAGGGTTGGCTTTGCTTCGCAGGTGATAAGGTCCACATGAGGAGTATCGTTGGCCTTCTTTATAGCTCAATGGGTGCTGGGCAGAGTCTTACTGCTTTGGTTGTTGGGAGGGCTACGGGCAGCCATGTCAAGGCCTGAGAGATTGCGAGAATGGCCGTTCTGGATAGTCCCTGAGGGGACCGGAAGTGGAGCACGATTTTTCATGTCGCCTGAGAGGCGATTATGGGGACGGGGTGTGTGGGAAGGTGAAGGTTGAGAAGGAGGAGTATTGCGAGAGGCTGACACTTGCATGGCCGAGAGAAAGAGAAGGCGGACTACAAAATCCGGAGGGGTTTAGTACTATCGGGCGGGGTGGAGATAATAACGGTACTAAGAAACGTAGTAAAATGAGAAAGGTGCTTTCTGAGGGCGGTCAACATTGATAACAGCAGAACAATAAGTGAATAGGAGAGGAAAAGAAGGTGGGTTGGAGGGAAATAAAAGAAGGGAAGAGAAAAAAAAAAACAAGAGGGAGAGGGAGAGAGAGAAAGGTACTGACATGGAAAAGGTAGATTAATATTGAACATTGGTTAAGTTGAGATTCGCAACTTTCATACAGTTAGCTCATCGACACCTTGACTCCGAGGCAATCAACCTCGAGCATGGACAACGAATTGCCGAAAGTGCTTGCACCTAGCAATTAGAGTGAATGTAAAAAGTAAAATAAAAATAAAATAAAAATCTAAGAAAATTTAAATGGAAAAAAAAAATAAATAAGTAGAAGAAAAGAAATCTCTGCATAGTTTCTCCTGACTAAAGAAATTATAAAAGACAGCCACCTCGACAAGAACGTAATCCTCATGGGAATGCTCTTACAGCCAACGGTACGAATTTCTTACCCTCATTGCGCGGTACAATAATAGTTTCTTTTCTCGATAAGAGTGAGGCACATGACACTACTAGTATCAGAAGCACAGATGATATACGAAAACCCAATAGGGTTGTTGTCAGAACTGTGGGAAAATATACTATCGCAGATCGCACGCGAGGGCTCTGGCATGTATAGGATGGTCCTTATATTTCGATCTCTATACATCTGACAATGCTTGGGTGGAACATAGCTTTCCTCGAACCGTGTCCCAATTTGAACCCAATTGCTCCTCCATCATTTCATCGAATCATCCAAGGCTTGCAGGCGGAGAAACCCGTCGATCACCATCTGCCCACCTCTATGCGGACGCTCGGTACATAGATGTACTATAAATATTCACCTTAGCGATATAAATCTGTATGAGATGGTACGTAAGCACCGCACACTGGAAAGGAAACTGACGAGAGCTGGCGAAGGGCCCTCAACATTTTAGCTTGTCCCTTCATCTACGTATACAAATGTTGTAATCAAGTGAGGATAGAAGGCCCTTCTAGCCCTAGGAATTCCTGTTCGTTACTGTGAGCAGTCTCAGCAAAGGCGATTAACCAGATATTCATACCCAGAGCTCTTCTCGAGTCACATCTTTATCCACCATCTCTAGACATCTTCTCCACAAATCGCGACATATCTGCCTCCGCGCATTAACACGCTTCTGCCAGCATTCCATTGCTCTTTTGGTGACAGTTCTGTCTTTCTCATCCACCTGTCCCACGCTGGTGCCCCGAGCTTGAGTTAGAATTGCGAGGGTAGTCTCCCTTTCCACTTCAAGTTGGCTGATGCTCTCTTGGAGGTCAAAAGCCAAGGGTGTCGCACGTAGAGCTGTGAGCTTAGCTCGCGCCCTTTTTGCACAGCCTCTGAGGTCAGCAAGCTGTTCCTGCAGCTGGCCAATGTGATCATTCAGAGCCACCACTCCCTCCAATGTGTTTTCATCGGTCCCCTTCTGTAGAGCATGATAAACTGCCTGTCTCCCTAAATTTGAAGTTAGTGCCAGTACTCCATGATGTCCACTCACCATCCACCATCCCAACGTGACACATGCATATCGGATTCACTAACCGGATGCTCTTCCTTCGATTTGCCGATTCAGATGTAGCTCTCGCAAGACCTTTGCTGTATATGCTTCGGAGTGCGCTTTATTAAGGACTCTACTGAGGCCCGGACTTGGTATGGGGGTTGCTCACTTTTGGTGACTTTGTTGTGCAAATTCACTGAGACATCTGTGGCCTATATGTCATTAGCCGCCAGGCACTTGCTGATAGGTCCTCCCGAAACCACGTACCGAATAGGGACGACTGCTCTTCTGGGTTAGCTAAAAACTATCAAAGAAAAGAAGGGGAGACGTGAATATCGTGTTCAGGTGCTCGATTGGACCCTTACTTCTGGTGACCTAGAGTTGCGGGAGTAATGGATCAGTCTATTATGTTTCTGAGAAGGCCGGGCTATAGAGGGGAAGCCTGGGGGGAACATATTGGCTTACGGAGATAGTTTAGAACCAAAGTAAGCCCATCGTCAACAGCTGTATGGGGTCAGAGTTCCTCCTGTGAACCTAGAACCTGAGTGACAAACTCACTGCCGTTGTTCGTCTCCTCACTTTGCCCCTTCTGTTTCATGCTGGTAATGGGAACAAAATCGAGGAGGATCTCCCAAGTAAACAAGTCGAAGACAGGGAGGGAATTATGATGATCATGCTAACACGCAGTTGCCACTACTCTGCGATACAAACTCACGATCATCACGTGGACTATTCGACGAACGTGGGGAACACTCATATTTATGAAATATCTAGGTAAGATGGCCTGGAACTCACAAGGCTAGGCAAAAAAGAAATTCCTTGACAAGAACAGTCCACTGTCAGCAGCTAAATTATCCCAAATATGTTAACCAAAGGATTGGAAACCGACCGCCAACTAGAATGCAAGATCAAAATAGAAGGGTAAGAGACTCAGTACAATTAAGAAGGCCTTAGTCAAAGAACGGGGGATTCAGCTTGCCAGCCACATATTGCGCTTGCTTTATCTCGAATTTCTTTTCACTATCAAAATGCACAATGATGAACTGAATCCTCTACCATCCCTGTCCGTACGCAAATTTCCGGATAAGAAACAAGTGAACTATGGTGGTGTAGAGTCTACGACGACTCATGGGTATCACATGACGATCTATGATGGAGTCAGTTTTCGTAACATAATAAATAGCTAACGGAAAGGATGAAAAGCATACGCAATCATTGTCCTTTTGTGCAGTCGGAACTCCCATCTCCTCAAATGTTTTTGGGCCTTTGCCTGGTAGGCCACCTTGAGACTTGGCTGGCTGTGCTGCGGGCTTCTGGCCGACCGAGGCTGACACAGATGATGGTTTTGGTGTTGCCGAGGATGCTACAGGTGCACTTGGAGGCGGCATGGATTCACTGCGCTGGGGAAACGTTGCAGAAGACGGTGAGGCCACTGGCTTCGGGGAGCCTACTGGGCCGCCTTGAGCAGAAACAGGCGTCCTCACGGGCCGTCTATCAGGCGGTGTGCTGTCAAGGCGTTGTGGGCGTCTTGAGTTTGGAGAATCAATCGGTGCAGAGTAGCCAATATCTAGCTTAGGTGTTGCTGACGTGGGGCTTGCTGGACCGCTGGTGGTGGGTGTCACAGGGGCAGGAGAGCGATACCCCATTGGCCCAGGCCCATAAGATGCCGCACGGTTATAATTGGGAGCGCTGGTGCGAATGTTAGGGTTGATGCCAAATGCTGAGCTTGGCCGTGGGTCAGGCACCGAGTAGCCTGGCGGGTACACTGGCCGAGCCCTGGAGGGTGGCCGGTCGGGGTACGGAGCACTTGGCGGGGGGTTATCTGAAAGACTCATCCGTGAAGGATCAGGCATTTCAAGATTCTCTGAAGCTGATTGCATGGATTCGTTCCGCTGGTGAGAGCCGTAGCGTGACTTGATCCGAGCGATGGCAACCTGCTCATGATCCCGTCGGGACAACGTCTTCGAACGTGAGATACTGTCGATTCGACTGGTAGCGTCTTTGTTTCCGTTTGCCGCAGCCTTGGCATACCAGCTTCTGGCTTCCTTGATATCAACCTGAACGAAGATACCGACTTCATAGAAGTATCCCAGGGCAAATTCCGCAGTTGGGAAGCCGCTCTGAGCTGCACGCTGAGCGTATGTGAACGCCAACTCGTCGTTCTTCTCGAAGACACCCTCATGTCCACAAAGGAACCATTTACTGATGGCCATTTCCGCTTCTGGCTCTCCTTGTCGGGAGGCCAATGCGTTGTAATGCAAGGATAACGCCGGGTTAAAGTCGCAACCTAGTTGACACAGTTCATATGCGGCACCCATCTTGACTTGGGCCTTAGCAAATCCGTGGTATGCAGCTTTCTCGATATTTACGCGAGCGGCATTGACATCAAGGGGGAGGTAATTCTCTGGGACGCTCACTTGGGGCAGCTCCCGTGCCAGAAGCATGCCATAAACCTGCAAGATACCAAGTCAGATTGAATGGCATGTAAGTATATTCCAAGGAACTACACACATAGGCACCCTGAGGCGCATTCTCGTCGCAGGATTGCGCAGCTAGCTGGATATAATCAAGGCCCGTTTGATAATCTTGACGCTGTCCGTGCTGGCCCAGCAAGATCATCATCCCCAGACGCTATAGCCTCAAGCAGTTAGCGCGAGCTGTTAGAATTAACGATGGAGATGTAGCATACGTAAAAAGAAGCAGAATCGGCAAGAGCAACACCTTTCTCGTAATGCCGGATGGCTTTTTCGGGTTCACCAGAACTCTCGAACTGCATCCCCATGCGATACTCAGCCCTGGCATAGCCTTTCTCCGCAGCTCTCGAATAAGCTCTGAATGCTTCCTTTTTATCAACGCGATATCCGAATTTTCCGAATTCCAACCACATTCCCTTGATGAACTCAGCTTTGGGATGGTGCTGATCAGCCAAGAAATTGACGATGTTCATCGCATCAACCTTCAACTGATGCTCCACTTGCGGGGTCTGGGGACGCGGGGGTTGGATTAAGGATAGACGAGCTTCATTCTGGACGGCGACTTCGACGTAAGCTAGGGCGTCCTGGGCCCAAGCCAATTGCATTTCGGGGTCATTGGAGGAGAGTACTGCCATCCGAGCCTTCTCCAAGCTGGCTTCTCTCTGCTCATCGGTGGGGGGCACATTTGGAGGGGGGTTGCGTAGGACAGGGAACGGCGAAAAATTAGGCGATTCCATGGTATCGTAAACGGCGGATTGCTCGTAGTGGGCAGCGTCCTCGTAGCCGGCAGTAATGGGCTGTCCCTGGACTACAGCGGCAGAAGAAGTTCTCTCGGGAAAATGGGACCGATCATATTGTACAGGAGCATATTGGCTCCGATGAGGGTTTCGAGCCTCATGCTCGAGGTGGGCAATATTGTCCTGCATAGTCTCCGGAACTTCAGGCATGACTCTGCTGGTGAGATAAAGTGTGTCCAGATTAGCAACACACCCATCCACTGTAGGGAGGTCAAAAAAAAAAGGGCAAAAGAAAAAGAAAGGGTAGAACAACAAAGATGCTATAAAGCTGGCGTTGTAGAAGATTTCCTGTTTCGGTTTATGTCTTTCTTTCTTTCCTTTTTCTTCTCCAAAACAACAACTAGATGGGGCTGGCTCACCTTTGGGGAGAAGGGGATATAACTTCTGGCATGTAAAAGTCATCCTGGCCCCCTGGATACCATGTAGCTCCTAGCCTTGGCTGACCGCGACCTTGCGGTGGTCTATTCATTGTCGGCGTCTTTTCTTCTCTTCCTCTTTAGTAATCTAATTATTCCCTTCTATTCTTTGGGAGGTTTTTTTTTTCCTCCACCCCCCCAGAGAAAGACAAATAATTTAAAAAAGAATTATCCGGACTATTGGGCGTTTCTTTTTCGTTCTTGTCCTTGGTTTGCCTTGCCAATTGTTTTGGGTTTGAGAGTCAGACTAGAGCTAATAATACGATTAGGCTCTCCAGGCACAACGGTTCTTCGGTACGTAATCAAAAAGAGAATAAAAAGAAAATAAAGAGGGCCAACTGTGGGGGAAGTTTGATTGCCGAAGGGCCCAAGCAAGAGAGAGAGACTTTGTTGGATATACAGAACGCGTTGAAAGAACCACAAGGGACCTACTCATTATCTAGCGAAAGTACCAGGAAATCCACTGGTGACAAGTATTTACCCAGTGAGAGCTGTCAGACAAAAGATCGAAAATTAAATGGAGGGGGGAAGAGATGGATGAGTGTTGAATCAAAGACGTATTGTACGTATCTTAGTATGGGTTGAGTGGGGTAAGAAGAATTGATAATTAATTACGGAGTACTATATACGGAGTACTCCGTATTATATTTTTACTTTCGTTCTCCTTCCCCTCGGCAACTGCACCAAATATTAGAGTACGGAGTACAGAAAGTAGCTTTCAAATAACAGATACTCTGTTAGGCGGTAAACAACTCATTAATTCATTTTTGTAGCAGAAAAATGCTTTTAGTCGCGAAACATGGAAGATTTATCAAGGAAAAATAAAATAAAATAAAATAAAATCTGTTAATAGAGAGAAATGCCCGCGTACCTGGTACTCGTACCTATGTATAGTACGGAGTACATACAAACCTGCTCTCGAAGAGTAAGCAAGAAACTAAAAAGAACTGGACCCGGCACCACTGCTCAACACTTGACCAGTATATAATCAAGATAGAGATAGGTATAACATGGGCAACTTCTCTGTGACCCCGTTTTTGATTAATTAATCGCTTTTCGAAACTGCTACTCCGTACAGAGTATGGAGTATTCAAGAGAAAGATCTGTGTTTTATCTCAAAAGAAAACTTGGCACTTCTTGGCATATGATTGCCTGAGGAGTCATACTCCGAGTATTCGTTGCTTTCTTTCCAGAAGCAACTTCGGAGACCACAATAACAGTTCTTCTGCTCTTTTCAGCCTCCGCCGAAAAGATAGTCTTCCTTGTGGGCCTTTAAGTTCCGATAATGTTTATGAACTTGTGTTATCATGGACAGGTACAGTAGGTGTATGGACTAGAGTATGAAGTTTCTACTAGTAGAGTACTGCGCCATAGTACGGAGTAGGAGGTATTAATCGTACCGCCCCATTTTTCACCTCTTTTGATTGGGCCTTCTAGTGCTTCCATAGCCAAGCCACATCATGGATCTCACCCCCTTTTGCTTTTTTTCCATTTCTCCTTTTCGTTCCCCGTTGCCCCTGCTCCTTTTCTCCTTTTCGGCTAGTCGATAGGCGTATCGTACAATGGACCCATACTGACCTTGAGCCTCTGATCTCCTGCGCAGTACTAATACCTGTTGAATGTGACCGCTATCTCCTGCAGGAATCATGGAACTCCAGGCAGAAGAGTTCCACCACCCTTATTCGCCATATGACATTCAGCTTCAGTTCATGCGGGCATTGTACTCTTGCATCGAAAAGGGTAAAGTGGCCGTCTTTGAATCTCCCACAGGTAAGTTGGCTTTCACTTTGAATTGAGTTCCTTCTGACACCCCTGGTGATAGGCACTGTGAGTTAAACTTTGGACCAGTTGTTGATTCTACTTGCATTCTTGCTGGATATCTGCCGTTGTAGAAGTAACTAAATGTAGATTAGCGGAAGACCTAAATATCATACTGACAATAAGCACTTGTTCAACTACTGAGACTTTCTACATTAGGGAAAATCATTGAGCATAATATGCGGCTCATTGACTTGGCTACGAGACCATAAACGCAAGGGTTTTCAGGAAACTGTCAACAACAATACCTGTTAGACTATCATTTGGGAACTACAGGAATTTGGTCTAATACGTAATCTCGCAGGTGATGACGGTGAACCGGAATGGATGCTGGAGTATGCAAGACGGGAATCCAGTCGTGCTATTTCGGAGAAGAGGAAAGAACTTCAGATACGATTGGCAAAAGCAAGACATAGGGAGGAGAAGCAGAAAGCTACTTTGGAGAACTCGAGTGGACCACGCAAACGACAGGTATGGTACCTACCAGTTTCGTGAGTAGGCAGTTTCCTTGCTGAAATGCCGGTTCAGAAGTTCGATATACCTTCCAGAGCTTCAGATGTGCAGACCGAGGATGGTTTCGTATTGGATGAATACGACAGTGAGAGCGAAGAGAAGCGTTCCTCACAGAAACGGACTGATTATTCGAGTGGCCTTTCCACCGGCACGCTAGAGTTATTGGAGCGTTTCCAACACAAATCCTCAGCACATCCCAGACAAGACGAAGATTATGGGGATGAAGATATCAAGATATTTTATTGCTCGAGGACACATTCCCAATTAACACAATTTGCAAGCGAATTACGAAGAGTCAATGTGCCTTCGAGCATACCGAAGGACTTTAGTGAAGGACTGGCGGACATAGATGAACTCCAGGAAGGTGTAAGGTACTTATCTCTTGGGTCTCGAAAAAATTTGTGCATAAACCCTCGAGTGTCTTCCCTGAATAATGTAACAGCAATCAGTGAACGCTGCTTAGACATGCAGCAGCCAGGTGTTGCTGCAGAACACAAATGTCCGTTTCTACCGTCAAATGAGAATGAGGCACAGGTTTTACAGTTTCGGGATCACGTACTGGCCACAGTTAAGGATATTGAGGACATAGGGAAATTGGGGAAGAACATTGGAATATGCCCCTACTATGCGTCCCGCTCGGTCACCAAGCATAGTGAGGTGGGTTGCTCACAGAGCCTGTTTGCTGGACACCCGTTGCTAATACTCGAAAGATCGTGACACTTCCGTATCCCTTGTTGCTTCAGCGGTCAGCTAGAGACGCTCTTGATCTATCCGTAAAGGGCCATGTCGTTGTTATTGACGAGGCTCATAATTTGATGGATGCTATATCCAACATCCATTCGGTGACAATCACACTCTCGGAGCTGCAAACCTCTCTATTCCAGTTGACAACATACGCACGGAAGTTTAAAACTCGACTAAAAGGAAAGAACCGCAACTATATCGCACAGGTTATCCGACTTGTCACTTCGATCACTGACCACCTCAAAACAATTCTCGAAAGAAATCAAGCTTCCGAAGGTCCTGTCCAGCCATCAGACCTCATGTCTGGGAAAGGTGTCGACCAGATCAACCCTTACAAGCTATGTCGCTATTTGCGTGAGAGTAAGCTAGCGAGGAAGGTGGATGGGTATGCCGAATTCTCTCGAGAGCAAGCAGACCGCGAAGCAGTCAGAAAGCCTTCAACGCCGGTCTTATTTCATATCCAGAGCTTTCTCCTACCCTTGATGAACCTTTCAGCAGAAGGGAAATTATTCTATACGAAGGCTCAAGGTGATATTCAGTTGAAATATATGCTCCTCGACCCGATGAATCAATTTCGCGAAATTGTTGATGATGCAAGGGCTGTTATATTAGCTGGCGGAACTATGTCACCTGTATGTTAGTTTTCAACTAACATGCCCTTTGCTCATTAGTTGACAAAGCATACAGATGACGGACTACATAAACCATTTGTTCCCATACGTGCCATCTAGTCGCCTAGACACCTTCAGTTATGGTCATGTCATTCCTCCAGAGAATTTGATCGCACAAGTTCTAGGTAGAGGGATTACAGGTACAGACTTCGACTTTACCTTTGATACACGGGATTCAGAACGGATGGTATGGATTCTGAGTTGGGGTGATCCTTATATTTCCATGATCTAACCCATGCGTGTGCACAGATAGTTGACCTGGGACGAACGATAGCTGCTCTATGCCAGGTTATTCCAGATGGCGTCGTTGCCTTTTTCCCAAGTTATGACTATCTCGGTCGAGTTTTGAGTATATGGAAAAGACCTCTTGCAGGAGAGATCAATCGTACTGTCTGTGACTTGATTGAGCGGAAAAAGACTATTCTGCATGAGTCACGAGATATGACTATGAGCATTGAGGAGCTCTTGCAAGAATATGCAAGTGTTGTCGGATCAGGACGAGGGGCACTACTTCTTTCAGTTGTCGGTGGGAAGCTGTCAGAGGGTATCAACTTTTCTGACAGATTGGGGAGAGGTGTGCTTATTGTTGGCTTACCATTTCCAAATATACGCAGTGCAGTTTGGCAAGCAAAGATCCAGTATGTTGAGCAAAAAGCCTACAAGGAGAGCTCAGGCTCCGAGGCAAGCCGGCAGCTGATCGCAAAAACTGCGGGAAAGGATTTCTATGAGAACTCCTGCATGCGGGCAGTCAACCAGTGCATCGGGAGAGCTATTAGACATCGTAATGATTACGCTGCTATCGTTTTGATGGATAGACGTTACGATAAACCCGCTATACAGGGGAAACTGCCCGCTTGGATCAAACAGAGCATGGCGAGCAGTCCTGCTCTGCGGCCAGCTGGAGCAGCAGTAGGTAGTCTATCGAAGTTCTTTATGGCACAACGGACCAGCCAAACATAGTGAATATTACTTTATACTGTCTTTATATGAAAACCTCTTCCTTGGTAATTATTGGCCTCCAATCCTTTCCAGCACTGCATACAAAGTGACGCGTATCACGTGATAAATGCCAAGACGGGCAGGGTTGACCCTACTTAGGGCAAGCGAAGTTAGCGCACAATCTAGAGCCGCCGCCTCCAGGCCTTGATTTCAACATCTGAGCGACCAGCACACACGATCGCATCCCCAATCGCCAAACACTCAGACCGGTCTTGTCGAGCACACCACCGTCGACAAGATGCCTACCCGTTTCTCGAAGACAAGGAAATCGTGAGTCGAAAAGCTCTTTCTTTTATCGCCTAGGGTGGTCGAACGTTCTTGTTTGTCGTGGTGAAATGCGACAAACTAATACCCCATCCGACTCCTATATCGAAACCTTGAAAGAATGGGACAAGACGAAGCTGACTTGTATCTCTTTCTTCCTATAGCCGCGGTCATGTGTCCGCCGGTTACGGTCGTATCGGCAAGCACCGTAAGCACCCCGGTGGTCGTGGTATGGCCGGTGGTCAGCACCACCACCGTACCAACCTCGATAAGTACCATCCCGGTTACTTCGGTAAGGTTGGTATGAGGTACTTCCACAAGACCAACCAGCAGTTCTGGAAGCCCGTGATCAACCTCGACAAGGTACGTGAAGTTACGAACATTGCCGTAGAAAACGATGGACGCAGTAAAAAGGAGGATCGGCTTGATGAAATGGATTGTGTGGCATGAATAACAAATGATGCTCGAAAACATGAATCAACTGGCAAGAAAGAAGGAAGCAAGAGATTTGCCATGGCTGTGATGAACATGTAACTGATTGGTGAACTCTTGGTTTAGCTGTGGTCCCTCGTTCCCGCTGAGCAGCGTGATGCCTACGTGAGCGGCCAGAAGACCGACACTGCTCCCGTTATCGACCTCCTTCCTCTTGGCTACTCTAAGGTTCTCGGCAAAGGCCGCATCCCCGAGATCCCCATCGTCGTTCGCGCCAGGTACTTCAGCCGGGATGCTGAGCGGAAGATCAAGGAGGCTGGTGGTGTCGTTGAGTTGGTTGCTTAAATGTGGATTATGGTGCTACCTAAAGAAGGTCAAGGTGCTGCGCTGGCTGTGGTCGGCGTAATTGAGGCTCGGTTTCTCTCGAAGGGAATAAGGACTCGAACAAGGGAGCCGCGGATCGGGCACAGGGATCCGTGTATTTACAAAACCAAGGGTTTTCGTTTGTGATGAGCATAGCATAGCCTCCAGACACCCTTACGATCTCACTGTCTCACAAAATACCATAAAGGAGGATTTCTTTTCGCTTTTTTTTTAAACCTAAAGTTATCCCAGGCAATATGATCCTTGGCGAAGACGTAAGATAAAAGGTGGGAGCCTTGCCTCTGGAAGTTCAGAATGGACCCTTCGTGGTTGGCTGGGTAGTTGCTATAACGCGTCTAAACCAGGTAGCGCCGCTTGGAATTACCCTTAATCTTTACACTTATCTACTATCATATCCACATACCGTCCCCATATGGAACAATGCCTGTGGGCAAGACCGCTTCCTTCGAGGGGTATGGGCTCGGGCGCATGTTAGTACAGAGATGCTGGTAACAGATGGTATTGATCAGGATCACATTGTCTATGTGCACTCAACTCGCTCTATAATTCAGTTATATCTTAGATTCACGAACAAATCCAGACTTCAATGAATCCTCAGTGGCTGCGAGAGTATCACTAATGAACCGCACTGCTTCGTCAACCATCTTGGGCGTCACCTCATGCGCCGCGCTCTCGTCAATAACATCCTCTAGAGTCACCGCACCATTGGAAAACCAGCCGTTGGGGGCAACTGCTTGTTTCAGCCAAGTTAAGAAGGCCTCTCCTCGATGGTACGGAACCAATTTATCCACACCGCCAGAAAGATTCAGTATCCTTTTGCCTGCTAGGCAGCGGGCCAACAGCGGCTGTAGAGCCTGCTTCTCTTTCTCCGTCGGCTCCGGCAAGGTAGGGTTCCGCAGAGGCTCGACACTCTTCTGCGTGTCCAAATAGCTCAAGAACAGACTGGCCGGGTCATAATCACGGACGGCGTCTAGGAGAGACTCAGGAAATGCCTCCGAACCCAAGAACTGGGAGCCTGGCGGGTCACTGTTTGTCCATGCTGGGAGCTTCGACAGTCTCGCACGATCGGCCATGAGATTTACATAGTCGGGACAACCAATGATAACCACACCGGTAGTAACACGCGGTTCGTGTAGAATACAGCTCCACGCTGCATGTCCACCTAGGGAAATACCAAGTACGAGGTTTTCGGTGATCTTGTGCTCGGAGTGAGGAAACACGAAAGGTGGGAGATAATCGATCAAAAGGGAAACATCCCGTGCAGTGCCCTCTAAATTGCGGATGAATCAGATATGGGCACCTTCATTTGGGAAATGCGGAGCGCTCACGAAAGATGGAAAACATGTCCTGCGCATGACGAGGGTTGCCCTGTCTCCATGCCTCATTTCCAGTGGGATCAACCAGCCTCGTGCCATGATTTCGCTGGTCGAAAGCAACGGCGATTAGGCCTTTTATAGACTGGCTACTATTGGCATGGCGAGTCTTGATTCGGTTATTCCAGTCCGTGATGACTGCGGCAGCAATTCCCGCCATCCTTTCTTTAGTTGCTAGTCTGGGATGCAGCAGCCAAAGGCACGCAACCTCTGAAGCCTGGGTAGGTAACTCATTTAAGCCAAATACCGTAGTAAGTATTCCTGCGACTGGATATGTTTTTTGCGATACGGGCGACGGAATCGTGCGGGGTGCGGCATCTAAAGGTTTCAAAGGGTCTGCCATTTCTCTTTATCTCTTTCCCTTCCTCTCTATTCCTGTACTTCCTTTCTATTGTTATGGTATGTTGAGGTGAATTGGGAAGGTAGAGGAATAACGCGCAATTGAGTCCCAAGGTCGAGGAGTGACAGTCGAAGTGACCTTAGCCTTATATCCAAGAATCAAGTATACCTCGGTAGAAAACAGAGCACAGCCAGTGGCTGTTTCTCTTCACCAGCCACAATGTGTCCCGCTTGTTTATCCGCGCTGCGAACGTACGATTATCAAGTCAAAGTTTACCTCCTCTTAACCTTCACTTACATAGTCAAAGCAACCTCAAGTCTTCTCAAACCTCCCCGTTTATTTTACACAATGTAAAGAGGAAACAAAAAAAAAATAAAGAAAAAGAAAAAGAAAACCTTTAGAGATGGTCAAAATTTGCTTATAACCAAAGATCCAACTGCTCCTTTGGCATCCAGACTTTTCCCCTTCCCAAGTTCCCACGCTAAAGCGGGCCCCTCTGTCTCCAAGTCGAATTGGGATAAATTATGGGTCAGACTCCACTGCGGCTCGGGACTACGTACTATTTGTGTTTTAACACCAACGCTCCTTTTGGGTTCTAACGCCCTAGCTTTTGACAGTTACCCCCTAGGCTTATTGTTCAAATAGATCACGCCTTCGGACAGCGTTACAATGACTTCACTGTGAGGTTTCCATGGTTAGTTTTGACAGGATCATATTGATCCTTATGTAGGCCCATTGAACTCCCCCCGACTCCTACCGTAGTGAACTAACATCGCTTTGTCCTTAGTACGCACCATGACCGAGTCTACGGTCCATCCCTCAGAATTGAGGGTTCCTGAAAACTCCTCTGATCGGCTCACCCCCGGAAAGCCAGAGCCACCTATTTTATCGAGTGGCCCAAAGCTGTCTTCACCTTTCCCTTCTCCAACTGGTACCCCTGGCACTGAGTATTCGCCTTCAGACAATCAGGAAAAGGCGGAGGCTGCTGTTGAAGAAGATCAACGGAGAGCGAATACTATCACGGATGAAACTGGAGGCAAACCACATATAGGGGAGGCCAGCGGCTCATGGGAAATATGGGATGGCTTTTCCGGAGTTAAACAAGCATCTTTGAACCCTCAACGACCGAACGAGTCGCTCGACAGCCAGCAGAAGGCCTTCAGCCAAAAATCACAGGCATCCCATCATGGGCTATCATCGCGGCGTCCAAGTGTTCAGTTTACCGGCGAAGCCACTGAGAACGATCCTCCTGTCGAATCTGCTCGATCAAGACCTTCTTCCATAGCAGGGGACGATGTTGATGCTGATCTGAAGGGCAAGCAATCGATCTTCGGCAAGCTGAAGGCATTTGCAGTCTCCCCATCATTCACCTCTCATTCCCGCTCGGCTAGTGCTGCAACCATCGGGGATGCTAGACATCCCAACCATGATCTCACCACCCCAGGCTCGGAAAGGGGGGAGTTCCGTTTCCCCGACACGCTAGAAGAGGAAGGGAGCGATATTGATGCTGATGCTGAAGAGAGTGCGGGGGAACAACAAGTCCGGCAGAAGCAGCAGCAGAGGAAGAAGAAGAAGCAGCTGCGTCGTCAACAAAGCGACTCTACACCCCAGACAGAACCGAACACACCGAAAGCCTCGGGCCGGCCCTCCTTTCACTTGCCTAGCTCATTTGGCCCCTTTGAAAACTATCGTACGAACTTCTTTCCACGACGAAATACTGGAGACTACGCGCAGCAACGTGAGGGGGTGTCAGAGGATGAGGGCCGGGATCGCCTTAATCGCGATAATGCTTGGCGGCGGAGAAGTGCCTGGCTTGCTAACACTCGCGCGCTTAATTACGGGGGACGGCAGATTGACTCGCAACCGAATCAGGATGAGAGACGCCCTAGCAATCTGAGGCGGTTTACTGGCATTACAGGGCCGTCGGAAAACGTCGAGAGTCTCGGGGCTCCCTGGAGGCGCCATCGAGCTGAACGTGGTTCTAGCCTCAGCGCTCAAAGATGGCGGCAAATTAAGGCCGGATTGAAGTTGATTGGACAGCGACGTAAGACCGACAACACCGTTGACCACGCGAAGTCGGCCGAACTGCTAGCCGAGCTGACCTCGGGAGTACCGGCCGCCCTAATTCTGGCCAGCATGTTTCAACGTGATGAGCATGGCAGCAAGCGCATTCCGATTCTTCTTGAGCAGCTCAAGGTTCGAGTAACGGATAGTAGGATCGATTCTCATTCTGGAGATCGCCACCTTGTCTTTAGGATCGAACTCGAATATGGAAGCGGCATGACCCGGATGAAGTGGATTATTCATCGAACGCTGAGAGATTTCGCAAATCTCCATTTAAAGTACAAATTACACTTTGGGACACAAAAATATATCCAACTGCGAAACACTGAAGGGGCACAGAATCTTCCACGATTCCCTCGAAGTGCATTTCCTTACCTACGAGGGGTTCGAGGCTTAGAAAGCGATATGGAGGACGAAGAAGATGACGGTGGCTATGAAACCACAGCCGAGGCGACAAGTGGCAATGAGAGAGCTGGGAAGAGGCAGCAGTCACGGCGGCGATCGTCCGGTAATATATCTCGGCGACAGTCGACTGTAACGAACCCTGATACAGAAAATGCTGCTGGTGCCTCGGGCGCAGCAGACGCAGGACCGAGCAAAAAAGAGAGTTATCCGGAGAGACAAAGAAAAAAACTCGAATCTTATTTACAAAAGCTGATTCGGTTCCTTATCTTTAAACCTGATAGCAATCGTCTGTGTAAATTCTTGGAGCTGTCGGCCTTGGGGGTGCGCCTCGCTGCTGAAGGGAGCTATCATGGCAAAGAGGGGTATTTGATCATACAATCCTCGAAAGGTCTGGATTTCCGGAGGGCCTTGACTCCTGCCATGGTAAAGAGCCGTCATTCACCAAAGTGGTTCCTAGTCAGACATAGTTACGTCGTTTGCGTTGATTCCCCCGAGGCAATGAATATCTACGATGTTTTCTTGATAGATCCCTTCTTCAAGCTGCAAACTCAGAAGATCAGTATCCGAAACCAGAAAGCAAAGGAGCTGGCAAAGTCGGCAAAAGAGTCGGCAAGGCATCCGCAACATCACACCTTGAGACTGGAGAATTCAGAGCGGAAACTCAAGCTGTTGGCCAGGAACGAGCGCCAACTCCATCAGTTTGAAGATTCGATTCAGTTTATGGTCAACAATACCCCTTGGGCAAGGCCAAATAGATTTGAAAGTTTTGCTCCAGTGCGCCACCAGTGCTTCGCTCAGTGGCTAGTTGATGCTCGGGACCACATGTGGATGGTGTCACGGGCGATCAACCAGGCCAAAGATGTCATATACATCCATGACTGGTGGCTTAGTCCCGAGCTCTATATGCGGCGACCAGCTGCGATCAGCCAGAAGTGGCGCTTAGACCGCCTTCTCCAGCGAAAAGCCCGCGAGGGCGTCAAGATATTTGTCATCATGTATCGAAATATCAACTCGGCCATCCCAATTGACTCGGAATATTCCAAGTTCTCCCTTCTTGATCTGCATCCCAATATCTTTGTGCAGAGATCTCCGAATCAATTTAGGCAGAATACTTTTTTTTGGGCCCATCATGAGAAGTTGTGCATAATAGATCATACCTTGGCTTTTGTAGGAGGTATTGATCTTTGTTTTGGAAGGTGGGATACGCCACAACATCTTCTCACGGACGACAAACCGACAGGATTTGAAACTTCAGATGGACCTAAGGACGCTGACCACTGCCAGCTTTGGCCTGGCAAAGACTATTCGAACCCACGTGTTCAGGATTTCTACGATTTAGATAAACCCTATGAAGAGATGTATGATCGAAACGTCATCCCCAGAATGCCCTGGCACGATATATCGATGCATGTTGTCGGCCAACCGGCTCGGGATCTCACTCGCCACTTTGTTCAACGATGGAACTATATACTGCGTCAGCGAAAACCAACTCGGCCCACACCATTTCTACTTCCTCCGCCTGATTTTGACGCAGCAGATCTGGAAGCTCTTGGACTAGACGGGACTTGTGAAGTTCAGATCTTACGATCGAGCAGCGCATGGTCCACTGGTACGTCGGACCTTACTGAGCACAGCATCATGAATGCCTATGTCAAGTTAATCGAAGAATCGGATCATTTCGTCTACATCGAGAACCAATTCTTTGTGAGCACCTGTGAGATAGACGGCAGGAAAATCGAGAACCTGATAGGCGATGCTCTGGTAGAGCGGATTACTCGAGCTGCGAAGAACAAAGAGGCATGGCGTGCTGTTATCGTCATACCACTGATGCCAGGCTTCCAAAATACGGTAGACAGTGAGGGCGGGACAAGTGTCCGGTTAATCATGATGTGCCAATATCGTAGCATCTGCCGGGGAGAGACATCTATATTCGGACGACTCCGAGCTTTGGGCATTGAACCTGAAGATTACATCCAATTTTTCAGCCTGCGGGCTTGGGGCAAGATTGGCCCTCACAAACAACTTGTCACTGAGCAGCTTTACATTCACGCTAAATGCATGGTTGTCGACGACCGAGCTGCAATCATTGGGTCTGCAAACATCAATGAACGGTCCATGCTGGGATCGCGAGACTCAGAGGTAGCAGCCGTTGTGCGTGATACGGACATGATCTGGTCCAGCATGAATGGTCGTCCTTACCTCGTCGGACGGTTCCCCCACACTCTAAGAATGCGCCTCATGAGGGAGCATCTTGGCATTGATGTCGATGAGCTCATGGAACATTCCATGGCGACAGAACAAGAATTGCGAAGGATTCAGATTGCTGAGGAGGGCTCTAAGTCACCAGGAGATCATGAGAGACTCGACCCTGAATCACTCTTGCTGGAAAAACAGGATGAGAGGGACATGATCGAGCGTCGACACCGTATACAAGACGAGTTCCTCTCACGGTCAGAAGACATACACAGCTTCAATCATGATGTCGATTGGGAGCAGGGTGATAATCCTAATCTCAAGTCAAACAGGAAGCTCACCGCAGATGCAAGAGTGACTGCCAACCCAGAACATAAGAAGGATGTGGACGGGTATGGTCCAGATCATCTTAGTACTGCTTTGCAAGCCGGTTTAGGAGAAGCTCGCGATTCTCAACTCTTGGGTGACAAGTTAGAGGTCTTGATCTCTCCCATTGCGAGCGAGGGTAAAGGCACCATCCAGCAACCGAGACATTGCCAGCCACAAGAAGCCAACTGCGACAAAGAGGCACGTAAGACATCGTTTATTTTACCAGATAATGTCGACGAGCCAGATTCAGTTGTTGAAGGGCTGTCAGCTGCTCGTAACCCAGCTGTATCAGGACATGATACCGAGAGCAGTAGCAATGGCGCTGTTCCCACGACTAAAGAAAATTTCGATATGACGAAGTACCCGCACCCACTGAGCAAAGACTTGAAACATGTATTCATTGATAAAGACTGCATGAGAGATCCGGTGATCGACGTGTTTTACCTAGACACATGGCATGCTGTTGCCGAGAAGAATACGAAATTGTTCCGGAGCGTTTTTCGCTGTATGCCTGACAGCGAGGTGAAGTCTTGGAAAGAGTATAAGGACTATACTGATTACGGGGAGCGTTTTGCTGAGATGCAGAATCAACACAGTGCTAAGGCATTTCGTCCAGCTCATGCTAGGCAAACTGGCCCGCCTGGTACAGGTGCCAGCTTGATTGCAGGTGGTCTCGCAACCAAGTCAAACCCAATAGCAGCCGGACCAAACGCGGACGAACAGGCGATGGGTCAGAAGGATCAGTCTCCAACTGAGAAGGCTGACCTCCGACAAGCTACAAATACCCAAAATCACGATCGCACGCGGTCAGATAGCGCACAACAACAAGAAACACTGTCATTTAAAGATGAAAAGATAACTGGGTTGAGGACGGTAGATGCACCAGCATCTGGAAACGTACAAAATGGGCGACATGATGAAAATGGATCATCCGGAGAAGATCATGAGAAGCGGGTTTCAGATCCGCCAGTCGTTGATTATTCGGAGGCTTTGAATCGAAATGCCACAGCTCAATCACGACGACGACGACGAAGAGCTACAACTCTGGGCTCAAAACGGGAGTTCCACGCATCAGATGAGGTGATGGATAAACAACAAGCGGAAGACCTTCTGAACCAGGTTCAAGGACATTTGATTCTTTGGCCTTATGACTGGTTAGTTGAATATTTCGCTGCATTATGAATGTTAATTCCACCTACTAACTGCTTGAACTAGGCTGGAAAAGGAAGAACAAGGTGGAAATTGGCTGTACACACTGGACCAACTTTCACCGTTGGAAATATAGTAAGTTATCTTCTTTTTAGTTTGTTCAATATCACAGACAGGTTGCTGATTATCGAGCAGTAATTAATGTACAGCGTGTCTTCTGCGTACCTCTGATTTATCCACCTCTCTTTGTGGGACTCTTAAGCATCTTGGTGAAGCAACAATATTTAGTCGCGATGTGCTCGGTGAATGGCTTCCAATGTTACTTTGGTGCCCGTATTTCTCTTACTTCTACACAGGAAATGGTCTGAATTATCCTATCTCTCGTAATAAATACTGTTAATCTAACATTTTACCTGTCTCCCTGATATTTCTGCATTACAAGCGCTCTATCCTTAGCCTGTCTTTTTCTTCTTTCCAGTCCATAGTAATCTCCTTTTTGTGTTTCGATACTAGAAATATTCGTCGCTGTGAACTGGCCCAGGGTCACAGGGAACAAAGTTTAAACATTATACAGAGCAACTTCATCTAATATAGGCACAATGACTTAAAATCTACATTTAATTAGGTGATAGTATACAGTGTTTATATTACATACAGGTGATTCATCAATGCTCATATACAAGAAGGCCTTCTTCCAGCTTAGGTTATCTGCCCTCGCACTTTGCTAAAGTCATCGAAATTTGCTCGTAAAACAGGGGCAAGAAGACTGTTTCTCAAACCACCATGTGTATGCCGTTCCCATGCACCAAGACATGTGTTAAGGCGATCATATGCGCGCAAAAAGACGTCCTGGAGCTCACAGGTGCGAGAGCATGTGCGGCCGAGATCATTCATGTAATTGGCGGGATCCTGAAGGCATAGCCTCGAGGCTGCCGGAATGTTGCGCTTCATGGCAGCCGTTTTCTTCCGGTTTACAAGTGCACGCTGGCCGCGAAGATGGGCTGGCAAATCCTCTGCATCGTACATTTTGATTGCGTCTTTCACAGTACTTGCATCGAAGAAGCTCGGTGGGTCCACGGAAACACAGGTACTTCTAAGATCAACCTCAGAGCCGTATACCTTTAGAAAAGCAAGGAGCTGTTGGCCTAAGCTCCTTGACTCTTGAAATCGGCCATGTTTCATCTTAAGAAATGCCACAATAAGCATCACGAGAGAATCAGGCCCAATGGATGATTTATGGCTACCGAACAACTCTTGCGCCTCCAATATCAGACGGATAACCATGTATAGCGGCCGGATCGCAGGATATTCAGTATAATAGTCGCATATATACTCAACAGAAGAGGGCAAGCCTTCGCCGCATTGGAATTGCACTCGTATACCGGTCTCATGGTGAACAGCGGTCAGAATAGAGTTCCATTTGCCGCTCAATTGAATCCGACCGCTAAACGACGAGCAATGCTGAAGGGTACATTCTACTCGAGACAGTAGATCACTATGGAAACTGAGAATCTGTGGCCGTGTGGGACTTGGCCTTCGGACCCTGTCGATCGATCGGGCTGGATCTGGCACGGGCAATATGAAGTCCAAATCTGAGTGGCTCATCGCAAAGCCAGTTCGCCGAGAGCCGATGACCTGGGGCGTTTGAGGTACAACATCTCGCAGCATGCTTGTAACTTGTGAAACTATATGGTTTACCCTATCCCGCTCAGGGGGTGTTGGTAACAAATATTCTTCAAGTGCGCGGATCTCTGCATCTAGCTGCAGGAAAGCGTCAGGCCATTCGCGACTTGCATCCCCATAATCCATCCATGGGGATTGCTCCCATCGGCATTGTTCCGTATTTACACCCCATCGCATCTGGTCACACGGGATCGTTTGGGTGGTATTGACGGGAACGTTTTTCAGGGTACGAATATTACTTGCTGTCCGTGTCGATGGCCTAGATGAGACAATTTGTGTCGTAGCTTCTGGAGAAACCGGTTTCCCTGGTCGTTTCAAAGCCAAGGCTTCCTCCACCGGAGTTACAGAGCGGGCGAGGTCTGTCCGGTCGAATACTTTACGAACCAAACTTGTCCTATTCGAGGATCGGTGGGCCTCGAGAGTCCTCGGAAGGCTGCTTTTAAATATAGCCATGTCCTTAGAGTAGAATCTAGTTCCAAGGACAGCTCGATATCTCGACTGAGAAGAGTGAAACGCGTGCTGCCGAAGGGGAGAGAAAGCAGAGGGAAGACCGACAGAGAGGTAGGAGCGCGTGGTCGCGCGAACAACTGGGCAATCGAGGCATTGCAAATGACTGGCGAGAATCCGGGGCATATACCGGACCAAGGCAACGTTCTAAACTTAAGCAGTTATTATTATGGAAAAGCAGGAGGATGACGAGGCGATCGGATGAATGAGTGATGCAAAAAACCAAGAGACGAAACAAACTTGCTAATGGCAGTTTACACAGGCACCTGATTGATCCCGTGCACCTGTTAAACAAATCCGTTTCACGTGGTAGATTCAGCCCTAACAGCGTGCGCCAGTGATTGATTACATAATTGGGCCTCGACGATTCGATGAGATGATTGCTACGTACTAGGAACAACTTATTCTTAGTAGTACTACTACTCCGTAGTGCTAGTATTAGACAGGTCTATCACAAGCATGACATCTAGATTGTAGGTCGGGGACAACCCGACTCATCTTCGTACTTCCGTAGCAGGTCATCATTCTGCAGTCATTCTCTGCCTATTTTCAGAAAAGGAGAAGATTTTATCTCAAGCATTCGGGTAATGACGTACCTGTGTGATGTTGGCGGGGAAAGGACATGATAAAGAGAAATTTCATGGATCGCATCATCCACTCCGGTATCGTAGGGTACGAACGTGAAACCGGTTATTTGAATTGAAAGATTAATTCCATCATTATGGGACTTGCATACTCGGCAGACTATGTCTGGTTGGGTACTTATAGTACCATGATACTATAATTGTTCCCGAGATAACTAAGATAATTAAGGTAGGCAGGGACTTCGTACATGTTTGCTTTTTCTCTCCGAGTCACCGGCCTGGAACAGTCCGTTTTGGGGGGGCGCGTGTGGCCCATCACCGTCCTTGCTTTGGTCTTCCCTCTCTCTCTATCTCCTTCTCTCCCGTTCTACCTTATATCCCTCATGTCTCTCTTCCCTAGCTCGTGAACAATCCAGCTCTTCCTATTGCTTGAGTATATTAAGCGGCCAACAGCCGAGCGAGGCGATTGAAACCACGTTCTTCAGGTCTTCACCGCCTGTGACTTCTAAACGGTCCGCCCCTCGGTTTCTACAAACTTACCGTCAACCCTCCAGTCAGTGACCCATTCCCTCTCTCTCTTCCCTCCCCCCCCACTCCGTCTCCCCTTCCCTCACTCTTTCACTCTTGTTGAAGAATAAAAAGAGAGAGAGAGAGAGAGAGAGAGAAAGAGTGAAGGAACCCATTCACCACTCGTTCAGCAACAATTCCTTATTTACGCTGTTCTAACTCTCCCACAGCCCCCAGCAGTTCAATGATTGTCGTTTTGCCGTCCAGGGCATAGTTCGCGGTTTTCCCCCCCTCTCCCCCACCAAACTAGCATTATCTATCTCTCCCATTCCATTTCTCCGAGGTACTTGCGACTCTAAACGTCCTACAACCTGCCCACACCCCTCTTGTTGATCATCGATCTTGTACACCGAAGTTCGAAGACAATGTCGTTTCTCTGACTAGTCTTGGAAACTTCAGATCGAGTAGCTGATTAGTTCCTCGCCCCGCTGTCATCCGCCTTTACCCCTTGCATCATTACTTGTTTTATCTATACCTGAGCATGTCCACCGAACAAAAGACGACTCCTGCAAAGACCCCCCGTGACCAACCTGACCCGGTTCTGGTTGGTCCGGGCCTCAAAGCTCTAGGTGAAGAGGCTTACACCAAGGCCTCAACTGCCACGCCTATTCCGGGTGGGGAGAAAAACCAATCTTTAGCTACCGATACACCTTCGTACTTCGCTGTAGCTCCTGGCGAAAGGGCGTCTTCGGAGTCGTCAAATGCTACCCCTACCACTCCTGCTCAGGCAGCCAAGGATGTGAGGTCGAGAATCGAACTCTTGCGTCGTTTGAGTCTAAGGGAGACACCCAAAGTGCTGGAGGAAGATCTACGTCAACAACACCCAGGTTTGCGTCTCTCTGGGCGAATCATCAGTGCCGCCTTCTGTATCCCATACAAAGTTTACTACCGGCGGGGATCTTATTGGGTGTGTATTCCCCGTTTATCTATCCAGTAGTACCCTCATTTCCATATTATGGCCTAGCAGAATCTTCAGGTAGATTAATCAGTCAATAGGAGCTCAAACCCCGTCCGGGAACCTCGGCACTATTTGATTCTTTGGCATATCTAGGTTCCGAGGATACTAATTGGTCTCATACGCTCGTTGGCTGGACCGGTGAAGTAGAACCAGTCCCAGAGGACACAGTGCCATTGCAGCAAATCCCCATAAACACCAGTGCCAAGCTGCCAGCTGCAGCTAATGGTACAGCAAAACCCCTCAATAAGGCGGCCGCTCCTGTCCCTGTGGACGCCAATCAACGGCCACCTAGCCATCCTCTCCTAGATGGTTTCACAGTCAGTCAGGACGATCGAAATCGACTAGATGAGCAGTTAGACTCTGGGCGCTACGGTAAAATTGTCCCCGTGTGGCTGTCGGCCGAGACAGAAACCCCGGAGGATACGATCTCCTTGGAGGATCAAGGTAGATGGAGGCGATACGCAGAAAGGGAGCTGTATCCTCTCCTGCACTACAAGCAGCATGGCCCCACAGATGGCCGATCTGAGCGCAACTGGTGGGCGGATTACGTACGAATGAATCGGTTATTTGCAGACCGGATTCTGAAAGAATATCAGGAAGGCGATATTGTTTGGATCCATGACTACCATCTTTTCCTTTTGCCCAGTATGTTGAGGCAGCGGATCCCAAACATCTACATCGGCTTCTTCCTACATGCCCCATTTCCCAGTAGCGAGTTTATGCGCTGTCTAGCTAAGCGCAAGGAGGTGCTTACCGGAGTATTGGGTGCGAACATGATTGGTTTTCAAACTTTCTCATACTCTCGCCATTTTTCATCCTGCTGCACTCGGGTGCTTGGATTTGACTCCAACTCTGCCGGCGTTGATGCGTATGGCGCTCACGTGGCCGTTGACGTCTTCCCTATCGGTATCGACGCCAAGGCCATCCAGAATATTGCTTTCGGTTCCTCTGAGATCGAGAACGCTGTGATAGGGATACGCAAGCTTTACGCCGGGAAGAAGATTATTGTCGGCCGCGATCGGTTGGATAGTGTCCGTGGTGTGGCTCAGAAGTTACAATCATTCGAAGTGTTCCTAGAGCGGTACCCGGAATGGCGTGACAAGGTGGTGCTTATCCAGGTGACCAGTCCGACTAGTGTCGAAGAGGAAAAAGAGGAGAACAAAATTGCAAGTCAGATATCCAATCTTGTTTCCACCATAAACGGCCGCTTTGGGTCCTTGAGCTTCTCTCCTGTCAAGTATTACCCGCAATACCTCTCCCAGCCTGAGTATTTCGCCTTGCTGCGCGTGGCTGACGTCGGTCTGATCACCACTGTTCGAGATGGCATGAACACAACCAGTTTGGAGTATATCATCTGCCAACAGCAAAGTCACGGTCCTTTGATCCTCTCCGAATTCTCCGGAACTGCTGGGACCCTCTCAAGTGCGATCCATATCAATCCGTGGGACACGGCAGGCGTAGCTGGGGCCATTAATCAGGCCTTGACGATGTCCCCCGGCGATAGGAAGGCAAGCCATCAGAAGCTCTACAAGCATGTCACAACAAACACTGTCTCGGCTTGGTCCACACAATATCTCTCTCGTTTGCTGACCAATCTTTCTTCGTTTGACCAATCTGTGGCGACTCCAGCCCTCGATCGAGCCAAGTTATTAAAGCAATATCGTAAGGCACGGAAGAGACTTTTCATGTTCGACTATGATGGTACACTTACCCCAATTGTCAAAGATCCACAAGCTGCTATACCATCCGACCGCGTCTTGCGGACCATCAAAACCTTAGCCGCAGACTCCCGCAATGCAGTATGGATCATCAGTGGGCGCGATCAAGCCTTTCTCGATGAATGGATGGGTCATATACCCGAATTAGGATTGAGTGCCGAACACGGTTGCTTCATCCGGAAGCCACGCTCGGATGACTGGGAGAATCTGGCCGAACGATCGAACATGGGATGGCAGAAGGAGGTCATGGAGATATTCCAGCACTACACCGAGCGAACTCAAGGCTCTTTCATTGAGAGGAAGCGGGTTGCTTTGACATGGCATTATCGGCGTGCAGACCCTGAGTATGGTGCATTCCAGGCTCGTGAGTGCCGAAAACATCTAGAGGAGACTGTAGGTAAAAGATGGGACGTGGAGGTCATGGCGGGAAAGGCCAATTTAGAGGTTCGCCCGACTTTTGTCAACAAAGGGTTCATCGCAAGCCGACTGGTCAACGAATACGGGACTGGGCCTGGACAGGCTCCTGAATTCATCTTTTGCTCGGGGGACGACTTTACTGATGAAGGTATGTCTAGTCTGGTTCTTCGCGGGCTAATGGGGATCGTAGCTAATCTGTCTCAGATATGTTTCGGGCCCTTCAAAAGTTCGACCTCCCACAAGATCATGTCTATTCTGTAACCGTCGGTGCTAGTTCGAAACAGACTTCTGCCAGTTGGCATCTGTTGGAGCCAGCTGACGTGATTGAGACAGTCACAATGCTCAATAATAGCTCCAGTCAAGACTACTGATACCGGCAGACGTTCTTCTTTGGTCTGTGATGTTCGTGCGACTTGAGGTCCGACATGAGTGCCAGCTTTCCATGACAGAACATCGACGGTAGATGTTCGTTATTCTAAAAGATCATAATATTCTAGAGGCGTAGAGGAGACAGATACTTTTGACGGTGGCCATCTGTTAGAGGCGTCGTGATGGGGTTCTGGCATTGTCGTTATTTAGAGAACATCCGTTAGCGAAGTTGTAGCACAACCTGGCTAGGTGGGAGTTTTTGTTTCTTTTTTTACCCCATATCCTTCGTCGGTTAGTCGCAGAGTTTGATTGCCTCCCTTGGCTCTTTCACTGTCCTTTTTATAATACGTCATAGATGGATTTGCTCGGCCACTGTTTTATAATGTGTTAGAGATTAGATAGACCAGAGATGAGAATCGTATAGGAACAGGATTAAGTTAATGCTCTGCTAAAACTCAAGGATGAAAACTCTAGCGGGATACTGTAGTGACCCCATTTCAATATCAAAATATATTATATATTATAGTACTGGTATGTAGCATCTCCGAAATTGTGGGGTAGAAGAAGTACTGTATATATCTGTAAGTACATTCTAATGATACAAAATTGGGGCCAACACCGTTTGCCCTTTTCGCCCCCTCGGTAGTCTATTCCGTAGGCTGAGTGTTGCCCTTACTCCGAAGTAGGCTATCCCCATTACTGCTTCTCGGACTTCTGTGCGAAGCGGTTCTATTCATCCCTCTTATTAATCCGCCCCCGCGGCAGGTTCCATAGAGCGCTAAGTTTGCTTTGACCCGGAAAAAGAAAAAGGGAAAGGGAAAAAGTGAAAGATAGACTCATAAAAGTCATTGGTTTTCCCCACTGGTCCTGAGCCCTATTACGAGTCGGTACTAATGGCATCGGCGAACAAGCCGCGCATGACAACACGGCCTTTTTCCGTCCACTTTTGTCACATAATTTTAAGTCCTCTGGGTTGTCGGTAGATCTTGTCGGTAGATCTGCTTCCAAACCCTATGTGCACAAATTTTGAGTATCGGTCTGTACAGAACTCGATCAATGGCAAGGTCTCCCTTGTGAAACAACAGCTCAATCACTCGAGAGCCCAGAAACGTATCTAACACTTGCCGACCTCAAGTCTATACGTTGCTAGGCCATTCTCTGATTTGCCAACTAGCAAGTATGCTGGACAAAACACCCAATGGCACTAGTTATCCTCAACCCACGATCAACGGAAGAGATGGCATACGTCGAGATGAGAGTACAAGCGGCGTTGGAAAGGCTCTCGGCGACAAAGAGTCAAACGTGGATCACTGCCGGACAAAAGAGCTCTCCAAGACACCCACAAACATCAGCAACGTCGGTGCGTTGGCTTCAAAAACATTGTCCCTGGTCCGCACCAGAGAGTCGAATAGAGAAATTGGGCCTCCGCCCGATGGTGGTTTCCTGGCCTGGTTTCAAGTCGCCTTGGGTCACTTTGTCATTTTCAACACTTGGGGCTACATTAATAGCTTTGGCGTTTTCCAAACCTACTATACTGAAACATTAGGGCATACCCCGTCTGACATTTCCTGGGTAGGAAGTATTCAAATCTTCTTGCTATTTTTTATTGGGACTTTCTCTGGTCGTGCAACCGACGCTGGATACTTCAAGGCCACCTTGGTGTTGGGAGCGGCGCTGGAGCTGTTTTGCATTTTCATGACGTCTTTGTCTACTAAGTACTGGCAGTTGTTCTTGGCGCAAGGCGTCGGGCAAGGAATTGGCTGTGGGCTCATGTTTTGCCCTACCATTGCCCTCGTACCTACGTATTTCACTAAAAGGCGCTCGATTGCCATGGGGATTGTGGCATCTGGATCGGCAACTGGGGGCTTGGTGTTTCCCGCCGTTGTTATGCGTTTGCTGCCTCGGATCGGATATGGATGGACCATGCGAATCCTCGGCTTTATTTCTTTGGGCACCCTGACGCCTTGCTTGCTCTTTCTGAAGCAAAGGTTACCACCGCGCCAAAGTGGTCCGCTCGTTGAATGGGCCGCCTTCAAGGAACCTTCCTACGCGTTGTTTGCCATTGGCATGTTCCTCAACTTCTGGGGTATCTATGTCGGCTTCTTCTACATTGGTAGTTTTGCCGGCAATATCATCCATGTCTCTCAGTCAACCTCGATCGATGTACTCCTAGTTATGAATGGCGTTGGACTTCTAGGCCGGCTGATTCCGAACCTCATGGCTGACTGGTATACTGGGCCATTGAACTTGCTAATTCCCTGTAGCCTGGCTACCGGCGTGGTTGCATATTGTTGGGCTGCCGTGAGCAGCCCGGGGGGTATGTACGCCTTTAGCGCATTTTATGGTCTTGCTGCGGCGGGTATCCAATCTCTATTCCCTGCGACACTGAGTACCCTCACGACAGATCTGAAAAAGACTGGTGTGAGGATGGGAATGGTGCTCAGCGTGGTGGCCGTCGCTGCTCTCATCGGGTCTCCGATCGCCGGAGCATTGATCCAACTAAACGAGGGGCATTATCTGTATGCTCAAATGTTCATGGGCAGTGCAGTTGTTGCTGGTGCAATGACTTTGTTTGCAGCGAGAGTAGCCAAACTGGGGCTCTCCTGGCAACGGTCGTGAGGTTGTTGGGAAATGCGCAGCGTCTATATAGGAATTCAATGACGCCATAAAATAGAGTAATATACATAATATATATGTGTGTGTGACAGATTTGTAAATTTTCGATTGTATATAGATTGATCATGTATAACCTGTCTAGGAATTACGAAGTGTGCATGATGGATGATGATTTGTAGATGCATGCATTAGAATTGGTAATATGGCTGGTGCTGATGGAAGTACGCAGGGTGGGTCACATTTATTGATGCCTGAGGATATTGATTTTATCATTTGATTCCCCCGCCCTACCATAGAAATTCCATCGTCTGCGTGACTCAACTGTCTGTCTTCTGTCTTTCCTCACCACTCGGTTGCTTACCTTGTGATTCAACTCCTTTTCTCTGCATAGAGTGGTCTACCTCATTGCCACTGTATTTTCGTTTTATATGGTGAAGCATTAACACTGGGAAGCGCCTCTGGGGATAAGTTGTTGTATGCACATACATATAAGCCGTTGTTCCCCGCTCTGTCTTTCAAAGTCAGTGACAGTTGTATAATCACAGAAATCTCTTCAAGGTATATTGCCTTGGATCTAAATATATATCCCAGAGACTCTGGCGCTTTACGTTGTATTCAATATCCTGGCTGGCCCCTTGCACACCGATCACTCACATCATGGCGCCTCGTGGCCGTGGAAAGTTCTCCAAGCCTTCGCGAGGAGGTAGGCGCAATATCCGGGATTCGTCCTATACTATATGCTAGGAGAGTAATGTTAGGCTGACGGATACTTTCAAATCAGGTGGGAAACACTTTAGTCGCGATGTTCAACCAGTTGACAAACACGGTAATCCTGTCAGTCTATGGAGAGTACGTTAAGCCACGGCAGGGTTACGGACACAATTTATGCTAGAAGCTGGACTCCTAACGTACGACAATGGAACAGGAACCAGACGACGATGCCGCATCTTCCTCACAGGAGGAGGGGGGCGACGAGGAGGAGGAAGTGTCCGAATCAGGAGAAGAATCTTCAAATGAAGATACTAAACCTGGATCCAGCTCTGCTGCAGCTCCAGAGATGACCCGCGAGGAGCGCCGAGCAGCAGCCAAAGCCAAGAAGCAAGCTGCTATAGCGAAACGGAATCAAGTCCAGCCTGGCGATCTACCACCATCTGATTCGGAGTCAGAACATGGCGGGGGCAGTGATGAGGATGAAGAGTTGCCCTCAAATCCGAATCACACGGCCAAGTCTCGCTCGCAATTAAAGGACTCGAACCCGGACCAAGACATGTCGCAGTTGTCCAGGAGAGAGCGCGAAGCCATTGAGGCTCAGCAGGAACGTGAACGCTACCTGAAGTTGCACGCGGAGGGTAAAACAGAGGAGGCACGTGCAGATCTGGCTCGTCTGGCTATCATTCGGGAGCGCCGAGAGGCAGAAAGGTTACGGAAGGAGGCTGAGAAAGAAGAGAAGGCAGAGCTAGCCAAGCAGCGGGCTGCAGAGATAGAGGCAAAGCTGAACGTGAAGAAAAAAGGTGGTCCAAAGAAAAAATAAAAGAACAAAACAGCTTGCCTTGGCTTGGATATTGAGTCTTTGATGGGGAATATGGGGTGGCTTTATTCAAAGATAGATAGAAACATAGTTTGAGTATAGCGCTAACCGGCTACTGACGAGATTATATGTACTGTACACAAACTACCTAGATAGGTTGTTCGTTTCAAGACGAACAATACGATTCCAATAGATAATCTCCAGCGCGGGTCTGTCTAGACTTGAAGCTCCAGACCCAAAAACCAAACACACATTGATATATGTAATGCCGAGAACTTCTATACAGCAATAGGCTTTCTCTCCAATAAACGCAATATATAGGAAAGGGTAGTCTATCCCTACGCTCAGATCCCTTAAAGCAAACAAAACGGTACAAATGAACCTGAATATGAAAGTCATCGAGAACGTCACCATATACACCAACGCCTTGCTTGATTAAAGGTACAGTAGAATGTTCGTCCAATGCGAAGGGGCATTGGTGGGGTTCCAGATATTAGGCGCCCCAGAAAAGCCCTTCCACGCTACCTCCTTGCGCTACAATGCCCCATCCCGCGATTAAACTCACAAGCCACAGAATCGCGAACGCGAGGATGGGGAGCAAGAGCAATTCAGTATTATGCAAGAACGGAAGGGCATTGTACCCCAAGAAGGTAATGTATGTGTAATAGGCCAAGGCGGAAAGATAGAGCGTGTTCCCGAGGAACGTGGCGAGAAAATTGCTCGGACTGCGCGTTAGAAGCGGCAGGAGAAGGAACTGAACGACATACAGGTGAAGGTAGAGAGGGAAGAATGCCCGGTTAGATACCTAATTTTAATGGTTAGCTCGGCTCAAATACTTGCTTGGCGGCACCCTAGATGTACATCAAAGCAATATCCAAATTCCAATTGATCCTTTTCACCCGGTTGCACGAACAAGCCTTGTGCTGCACCACGTCTCCGTCCACGTCCGCCTCGCAACCCAGAGAAGGAGGATGCCGCTCCATCTGGACCGAAAAGTCGCCCGATGGCAAAGTATCCTATTGTTGACACCAGCAGTGAGGACCCGATGAAATGGAGAAAGATGAACAGTAGAGACAGGCGGACAATAGCCCCGAAAGACGGTGCATATGCGAGACCCCACGCGAGGGCTGTGAGGAGCAAGAAGAAGGAAAGTAGGTATGTGAAAGAGGGATCAGGCCGATGCCAGGTATTCTTGGTTTCTGTGAAGACAAAGCGACAGGTTATTATGGTGTTATTGCTGTGAGAGTACACACTTCTCCCGTCGCCTCCTCATCAATCAGGTTGTGACTACTGGGTTTGTAGGTACCTACGTTTCTACAATAAGGTAGAATTAGCACACCTGCACTATAGAAGACCAGCAATTAAGGCCACACTCACATGGTAGTAGATGGATTTGAAAACTTTCTTAGGAGCGATTAGCAGTGATGTCATCTCCCATATAGCCATTTCAAAGTCCATCTGTGGAAACTTGAACATCCTGTGGCCAGCATGAGGTTCGGATCAGTAATCGCCTACCGCAAATGATTCATAATATCATACTCCGTGTTGACATTATCTTCTAGCCCACAGGAGTTCTCAAAGAGCGCACCTTTTGAAAAAACGCGGCATCCGGATGCTAGATCCACGGCTTGCAGGTGTGCCGCCGAAGTTAGACGGACTGGCATGCTGGCGGGGAACCGATATGTGAGGATTCATTTTTTGCACAGTTTGAGAGAGCCCTGGGACACAGAATGTCTGAGGAAGGGCTGGATAGCATGTATTTTATGAGTATTGGTGGTTCCTGAACCCCTTCCGAGGCATGGAGTCGGGGGAAGACTCTCATTCAAAGGTTATGTCATCCGCCAGCTGGTGCTTTCGGATCAACTAGCGGCCCGTGATATATTGCAACTTGCAACTAATTGAACGGTTATCAATCACTGGTGGATATGACTCTCGTATTGATATACATCTACATATGCAGATACAGGAGAAAAAGGCCGTCCGAATGACAGGTCTCGTCTCATGACTGCGGATAAGCAGATCTCTAAACCCACAGCATTGACCAAGACCTCCTATGCTGATCTCCTCCGATGAAAGTCATTACCAGTCTTATGCTCAGAAGGTTCATTAGGTTCTCGTTCAATGTAGACAAACAAATAGTTATTCATTTATTTGCTAGTCACCAAGATCTATATGCTCTCGGGCAATTTCAATAAAATAATACATCTACTATTTGACCTGTACAGTACATAGCCGTTCTCCACTAAAGGGAAATCAGAAAAGATGGAGTTAGGAAGTACGGAGTAGTGATACATAATATTCACCAATCCAAGGTTTATTGAGTCTATTAGTCTAAAGGACTGGGGATCTCTCTCCCCACCTCCCCTCTCTCCCTCCCGTGTGTGTGTGTGCCTTGCTCTTATTTTCTTTTCTTTAGCCAGAGGAGAAGTTCTTTCTTAAGTCATTCTACGTATCTTGCATCAAATTGTTGAAAAAAATCGGGGATTTCAGGAAAGTACACCTGTCAGAGTAGAACACTAGTACTATATCCACAAGGTAGTGGCCCACATCACAGCAACAGGTCAGGATGGAGGACCTCATAAGATTGATTGGATTTGACTTCACAGTACGGAGTTTTCAAGTAAAACCGAGACCTGGATAATCAGTTAATAACCAATTAATACTCAATGCCTTGGGCATCTGATATCCAGTAATCCAGTATGGGCTAGTCTGCCTAGTACCTAGTAGTACATAAGTACGGAGTACGGAGTAGTTGGCTAAATAATGATTAGTTGACTAACTACGAGGGCCTGGTGCAACCGACCGGGGAATTAATTGGATTGGATTCGTGGGAGTAAAAAGAGTGGGAAAAAAAAAAAAAAAGGATTTATCTGAAACTTTGAGCCCGACAGAGAAATCACTTCCCTCTCTCTCTCTCTCTCTCGCCCCGTTGAGATACTTCAACCACTAGTCGTACTACTGGGCATCCTGTAGGAGGTGTGTGGTTCTGGCCAAGACTCCCGCTGCCCCTGACCATCGGCACTAGTACCGCCTAGTACGACACTTTCAGTTCCAGTGTCTTTCCTTTTGATTTGGGAATTGATCATGGATTATATCCGGTAAACCTTTCCCACCCTCCCCTGTCACGTTTTTTTCTTTGGGGATGAAGTGGTCCGTCATCTGCTCTTCAACCTTTCCCCCTTCACAACCACTAGTTCTATCATACCTAGTTTTCTTCTTTCAGGAACTGAACAGAAAAGGGACAAAAACCATCCCCCCCCACAGTGGTTCAACATATACCCACAGTTCCTGCCGTACCCTGATAATCCCCGCCTGCCTTTGGTCCTTTGGTTCCATTCCCCTTCCTAGTATGTTTTTGTTGCGCTACCTATGCCTGGTGATACTTAAGTACAACATGATACTGACGGAGCTTTGTTGCTTCCCAAGCTTATGACAATTCGCACGATAGCTTTACTCAATCTTCAATTGACTGTCACACGCTTTCTTCGACCTCGGGTCTTCAACATCCGTCGTCCACTCCAACCGATCCCTGCGCAATGACCGACAGATGACACATACCACCCTCTGCTTTCTGCCTTGGAGACGGCCCGCTTAGCGTTCAAGATATAACCCTTACAGTCCAACAAGAGGGAATCCATTGGATTCTCATAAGAAACGGGCGGAATATAAAGACGCAAGGAGCCGGTGTCTTTGTATAACTTGAGATCAATTCCATAAAGGTACATCTGCCTACAGTTTTCGCATTAGAAGAACTCTTCCACGACCTCGGCGATCGCCAGAACTGCAGGCTTTACATTATCTTCATTGAGCCTATCCCCGCGATCAGACAGTCCAGGAATAATGTCTCAACAACTTTCCGAGATGCATGCCAGTAATTCTCCCCCGAGTACACCTTCTGCGGCATCCAACTACAAAGCTACGAGGATGACCCAGTCTCGCCCGCCAGTGCGCGAAACTTTTCTGGACGAATACAATGCTGGTGATAACACAAATAACGGCATGGACTCTGGTGATGAGCGAGATCCCCATGATTTATCTTTGTCACCCAAACATGCCGCTCGCACTTCTATCGTTGATAATATGCTTCTGTCGCTGGATCAGTTTGCATCCTCCAATGCCTCCATACTGGATGACTACCGCCTGTTCAACTCCGTTTTTGAGTCAGACCTATATGGCCGTTGTTCGCCAGATTCTCTAACCCAACGTCGTTATCGCGGGCATACCTTTTCATCGTCTCTGTCATCAGAACCAGACTACAACCCTGATGATACAGCTGGTCGATACGGGACTCAACAGGGGAGGGCACGTCGGAGTACTAGCAGCTCGAATTACAATTCCAACCTTAAAAGATTTGGTAGTGCCCGCAGCCCAGAAGGTCCAAGCTCGCGCGGACAATCATACGATTACCGCTCCAACTCAGGAGGTGGCACCTCTGGGGTTCGCGGAACTAGACAAGGTAGCAAAGGGAGCTCCTCTTTACACATGGATTTTGGCCCACCCCTTTCAGGAAACCATCGGGCAGACCTGGCTACTGAGCGACGTTCCGCAAGCTTTGACTTCGGCACTCGACAGCCGATCATTCCGTTTACGGGCACAACAGTTGATTATGATCCAGTATCATTCGACGGAGCCGACGCGGCCCCTACACCGAGTATTCCAGGTGGACCAAGGAAGCACCAAGTTTCATCGCAAGGTGAATATCCCGGAACTTTGGGTCCTCAGTCTTCGCGCACACCGGTAGCTTCTCGACGGAACAGTGTGAAGTCGGCACGGACGAAAGGTACTGCAGCCATGAGCGGCCGTGACAATGATTTGGCCCAACTCGGTGCGCCTGTTTTGGAACCTCCCCCGGCTATACCGGTAGCATCGTTTGATCCGCCGGCCCCAAGTCCTACGATATCATTCAACAAGCCTATGTGTCCACCGCCCTCTGACCCAATTCCGACCAAGGAACGTCCGGGCTTCTTCCGGCGCGTGTTTGGATCATCCAAAAGCTCTACAACTGGTCCAGAAAACAATCAGGTTGATCTTGTATTTTCGCAAGATAACGATACACGGGATTTCAATGGTTCCACAGCAAATCTCAAGGACCGGCGGCAGCCATCGAAGAGTAGCACGGCGGGTACCACCACAGTCCGCCAAGGGGCCCATCAAGTGGTGAACAAGAAATCTTCATTCTTCCGCCGACGGAAGAGATCGGTAACTGAGAACGTTCCGCCTCCTGTTCTAATCCCCCCAGAGTCTGGCTCAAGGCCACATGAAATCACGAAGCCACAACCTAGCCCCGTGAGTAGTTTAAGGAAGGTGATGAACCCTTATCTTGCAGATGCTGGCGCTCCAGGGCTGCTCCATTCCACGGAATCCCATAGTCGAAACATAGGTCCAGGTAAACAGGAAAACAAAGGAGTTGATTCACCTGCAGAGAAGCCAAAGGAAAGTTTTAATGCTGCAAGTAGAGAGCCGAGACCCAAATACAGCCTTTACCCCGCCGCTTCCTCCAGTGCACGTGATACATCGATTCCGGGAAGCAAGATCGGAGACGAGGATATTCCAAAAGTCAATCCAATGGATTCTACATCTTCAGCCAGGCCAGAACAGCTGGCTCCTAGGGATGTCATTGGTTTACGCGACAGTGGGCCGGAATCGGAGAGTGATCGCACTGGTGGTGTCCGGAACAAGTTGACGCCACAAGACCTCAGTGTTCCGTCACTATCACCTGTTGTTGAGCGTTTGAGTGTGTCGCCTGTAGAACATCCCGAGGAAACACGTACGATCAATCCAGGAGAATCGGAAGAAGTTAAGTATCAGAGCGGACCCAGGCTTCACGGCCGCGAGGATGAATCCATCCAAAAGTCTCCTCCAGTGGAAACCAATCGCTCATTGAAAGTATCGACATCCAATATCTCGAATTATTACACTGCTTCCAGCACACCCGTGGTTTCTCCTGCGGAAACAAAGTCCGTTGAGATATCGGAAAGCAAAGTTGATTGCGCTGATGACGTCCCGGGTGATGAACCAGGAGACCCAGAAAAAGAACAGGCTCAAAAGCTCTACGACAGTCAGGATCAAGTTGTGGGAAATGAGCCAGCTGCTGCATGGCTCGGTGACCCGGACCGCGCTACGATTCGCAAAGCATACATGGAGTTTTTTGATTGGTCTAATATGAATATTTTGGCAGCACTCCGAAGTCTATGTACCCGACTTATATTAAAGGGAGAGACACAGCAGGTTGATCGAGTTCTAGATGCCTTTTCCATACGATGGTGCGAGTGCAACCCTAACCATGGGTTCAAAGCTTCAGGTATGTCCGCCCTTATTCTATGTTCCGTGCTCTTGTGCGATGTAATGCTCAACCCACCATCTATCTAGATGTTGTGCACACTATATGTTACTCTCTTCTTCTGTTGAACACCGACCTTCACCTTGCGGATATTGAACAGAAGATGACAAAAGGCCAATTTGTTCGGAACACTATGCCCACTATACATCGTGTGGCGTTTGACGCGGCCCCGGATGGGTTTGAATCACTTCATGTCGCTCACAATAAATCGAAAGTGTTGGCCCGAGAATCTCTGACATCGCCTATGGATGAGTCCGATCATGGGGTCATGGCCGCTGATAAACCCACAAATGCGCCAGCGAAGCTCGTGAATCGACTTTCTCGAACTGATCTCTCCGTCAAATTGTCAGGTGAT